AGAGCCCCTAAATGCCCCCTATAGCCCCCCAGGGTCCCTAAATGCCCCCCTTGGTCCCCTATAGAATTTCAGAGCCCCTAAATACTCCCTACAATCCCCTATAGCCCCCAGGGTCCTTAAATACCCCCCTTGGACCCCTATAGACTCTCAGAGCTCCTAAATACCCCCTATAGCCCCCTATAGCCCCCCAGGGTCCTTAAATGCCCCCCTTGGATCCCTATAGACTCTCAGAGCCCCTAAATACTCCCTACACACCCCTATAGTGCCCCAGGGTACTTAAATACCCCCCTTGGACCCCTATAGACTCTCAGAACCCCTAAATACCCCCTACGACCCCCTATAGCCCACCAGGGTCCTTAAATACACATCTTGGGCCCCTATAGAATCTCAGAGCCTCTACATACCCCCTATAGCCCCCTATAGCCTGCCTATAGCCCCCCAGGGTCCCTAAATGCCCCCCTTAGACCCCTATAGACTCTCAGAGCCTCTACAAACCCCCTATAGCCCCCTATAGCCCCCCAGGGTCCCTAAATGCCCCCCTTGGACCCCTATAGAATTTCAGAGACCCTAAATACCCCCTACACACCCCTATAGCCCCCCAGGGTCCTTAAATACCCCCCTTGGGCCCCTATAGACTCTCAGAGCCCCTAAATACCTCCTATAGCCCCCTATAGCCCCATATAGCCCCCCCAGGACCCCCTGGGGCAGTTTTGCCCCTTCACTCGGCCCATTTTCCCTGTTTCTGCCCCTTTTCGCCTTAATTCTGCCCCTTTTTACCGTTTCTGCCACTTTTCGCCCCAAATCTCTTTTCACCTTAACTTGGCCCCTTCTCACTGACCCGGCGATTTGAGTGGGTTGGGGCAATTTGGGTATTTTGGGGGGCAATTGAGGGTGTTTGGGGGAAAATTTGGGTATTTTAGGGGCAATTTTGATATTTGGGGTGGGGCTATTTGGGTGAGTTTGGGGCAATTTGGGTGGTTTTAGGGCAATTTGATGTTTCAAGAGGCAATTTGGGAAGTTTGGGGGCAATTCGGTATTTTGAGGGGCAATTGAGGTTGTTTTGGGGAAAAAATGGGTATTTCAGGGGCAATTTCAATGTGGGGGGAGCAATTTGGATGAGTTTGGGGCAATTTGGGTGGTTTGGAGGAAATTTGATATTTTGAGGGGCAATTTGGGTATTTGGGGGGCAATTTGGGTGGGTTTAGGGTAATTTGGGGTTTCGAGGGCTAATATGGGTGATTTAGGGGCAATTTGGGGGGATTTGGGAAATTTAGGTGTATTGAGTGGTAATTCGGATGTTTTGGGGTCAATTTTCATCTTTCAAGGAGAAATTTAGGTGGTTTTTGGGGCGATGTGGTGGTTTGGAGGAAAATTGATATTTTGAGGGTAAGTTTGGGTGGTAGGGCAGTTTGTGGTTTCAAGAGTCAATTTGGGAAGTTTTGGGGCAATTTGGTATTTTGAGAGGCAATTGAGGTGTTTTGGGGAAAAATTGGGTATTTTGAGGGGCAACTTGGATATTTCGATGGGAAATTTGGGTGGGTTTGAGGCAATTTGGCTGGATTGGGAGAAATTTGATATTTTGAGGGGCAATTTGGGTGGGTTTGGGGCAATTTGAGGTTTCAAGGGACAATTTGGGAAGTTTTGGGGCAATTTGGTATTTTGAGGGGCAATTGATGTGTTTGGGGAAAAATTTGGGTATTTTAGGGGCAACTTGGGTATTTTAGGGGCAATTCGGGTGGGTTTGGGGCAGTTTGGGTGGTTTGGAGGAAATTTGATATTTTGAGGGTCAATTTGGGTGGGTTTAGGGCAGTTTGTGTGGTTTTAGGGCAATTTAGGGTTTCAAGGGGCAATTTGGGAAGTTTGGGGCAATTTGGTATTTTTATGGGCAATTGAGGTTGTTTGGGGGGAAAATTGGGTATTTTAGGGGCAATTTGGGTGAGTTTGGGGCAATTTGGGTGGATTGGGAGAAATTTAGTATTTTGAGGGGCAAGTTGGGTGGATTTGGGGTGGATTTGGGGAAATTTGGGTTGTTTTAGGGCAATTTGGCATTTTGAGGGATAATGTGGGTGATTTGGGGGCGATTTGGGTGGATTTGGGGAAATTTGGGTGCACTGAGTGACAATTCGGGTGTTTTGGGGTCAATTTGAATCTTTCAAGGGGCAACTTGGGCAGTTTTGGGGCAAATTGGGTGATTCTGGGGTAATTTAGGTCTTTTGAGGGCCAATTTGGGTGGTTTGGGGGCAATTAGGTATTTTGAGGGGCAATTTGCATGGTTTTTGGGCAATTTGGGCTTTTGGGGGGCAATTTGGGTGTTTTTGAGGGGTAATTTGGGTGGTCTGTGGGAAATTTGCTATTTTGAGGGGCAATTCATGTGTTGGGGGGGGCACTGGGGTATTTTGGGGCAATTCGGGTGGGTTTGGGGCAATTTGGATGTTTTTGAGGGGTAATTTGGGTGGTTTGTGGGACAGGGGAGAAGCTGCAGTGGAGGACTGGGACCAGTTCGGGTCCCTCTGCTATGTGGGACCAGTGCGGTCAGGACGCTGGGACCCCCCTAATTTCCCAGATCCCCCCCCAAATTAATCACACCCACACCCCCCCCCACCTAATCGCAGCGCAGGGTCCCCTCCCCGTCCCCCCACATTCTCCCTGACGCAAAGCATCGTGGGAGCTCCGTGCAGGCCGGGACAGCCCAGGTTAATTAGAGCCGAGTAATTATGACCCGTGAGGACTTGCCTGGAGCTCAATTAACACCTGAGCTCATTAAGAGGCCTCTTAATGAACCCGGAGCTGATTGGGTAACGATGGGCCCAGGGCAAGTCGAGGCGATCCAGGAGGGGCTGAGTCAGCCCAGCCCAGCCCAGTGACAGGGCAGGGTTCAACTGGGATTTCCAGCGAACTGGCAGGACCCGATCCAGTCGGCGCCTCCCTGCCCCCGAGGCTCCTGGGAGGTGCCCCAGGGTCCTCTGGGGTTGGACCGGGAGGAACTGGGAGGCCCCGGGGGGGGGTGGAGGAAGAGGAGGCGATGAGGGAACATCTCTTCTTCTTCTGGAGGGACCAAGAGAAATGGTCTGGTGGCGTGGCGTGGGGTCACCGTGTTTCCCCTCCACCCCCCAACCTTGGGGGGGGGGGCCACGTGAGGGGTTGGGGGTGGCCACGGGGAGCTGGAGGTGGCCACCGGTGAAGATGAGGATGGAGAGAAGGAGAGAGGCTGAAGGAGCCAGAGGGGAAACGCAGGAAAACGGGCGAGAGGAAGGATGAGCCACGTCTTGGTGCTCCTCGGCGGCCCGTGGCCAACCCAACGTTCTGCGTCCAAGGAGGAGCCACGGTTTGAGGTTGGATCTCATCAGAGCCACGTCCCAGGAGCGCTCGGGCAACCCTGATCCAATGAGGAGCCACGGTTTGGGATCGACCCCTAAAGGAGACAGGTCCTGGTGGTCTCTCGACCACCTTCTCCATCCTTAGGTCCTACATCCACCAAGGAGCTATGTTTTGGGGTCCAACCCTCCTTGAAGACGTGTCCTGGTGCCTTCTCAACCATCCCCACGCAACCCAAGGTCCCATGTCCCGCGAGGATCCACGTTTTGGGTTCGATCCCACCAGAGCCGTCTCCTGGTGCCTTCTCATCCAAAACACCTGCTCATGCGCTGACCAGGGAGCTCCAGTTTGGGACCGAGCACACCACAGATGTGTCCTGATGTCCTCTCGACTGTCCTCATCTACCTGTGGGGTCCCACACCCAACCAAGAGCCACGTTTTGGGGTCCAGCCACAGCCTGGTGCCCTCTTGACCAGCTTTGTCCATCCTCGGTTTCTGCATCCGATGAGGAACCGCGTTTTGGGTTTGATCCCCGCCGAGCGGTGTCCCAGTGTCCTCTCTGCTGTCCTCGTGCAACCCCGGGTCTTGCGCCCAACGAGGAGCCACGTTTTGAGGTTGAGCCCAGTGGAGATGTGTCCTGGTGCCCTCTCGACCGCCCTCGTCCAACCCCAGGTCCTGCCTCTGGTGAGGAGCCACGTTCGGGGGTTGAACCCCCTGGAGATGCGCCCTGGTGCCCTCCCAACCACCACTTGGTTCTAGTGCCCATCGAAGAGCCACATTTGGGGGTTGAACCCCCCTGGAGATGCGCCCTGGTGCCCTCCCAACCACCCTCGGGTGTTGGTGCCCATCAAGGAGCCATGTTTGGGGCTCGACCCCCCAAGAAGTTGCACCCCAGTGCCGTCCCAACCACCCCCGGGTTCTGGTCCCCATTGAGGAGCCACGTTTGGGGGTTGAACCCCCAATAAGTTGCACCCCAGTGCCCACCCAACCACCCCCATGTTCTGGTCCCCATCAAGGAGCCACATTTGGGGGTTGAACCCCCTGGAGATGCGCCCCAGTGCCCTCCCAAGCACCCTTGGGTGTTGGTGCCCATCAAGGAGCCATGTTTGGGGCTCAACCCCCCAAGAAGTTGCACCCCAGTGCCCACCCAACCACCCCCGGGTTCTGGTGCCCATCGAGGATCCACATTTGGGGCTCGACCCCCCAAGAAGTTGCACCCCAGTGCCCACCCAACCATCCCCAGGTTCTGGTGCCCATTGAGGAGCCACGTTTGGAGGTTGAACCCCCTGGAGCTGCACCCTGGTGCCCTCCCAAGCACCCTCGGGTTCTGGTGCCCAACGAGGAGCCACATTTGGGGCTCGACCCCCCAAGAAGTTGCACCCCAGTGCCGTCCCAACCACCCCTGGGTTCTGGTCCCCATTGAGGAGCCACATTTGGGGGTTGAACCCCCAATAAGTTGCACCCCAGTGCCCACCCAACCACCCCCAGGTTCTGGCGCCCATTGAGGAGCCACGTTTTGAGGTTGATCCCACCACCCCGGCCCCCTCCTGGCTCCGTGTCCCCCCCCTTCCCCATCCAGCAGGGTCACCCCACGGCCCCGGGGTTTCCTGGAGCCGGGCGGAAGATACCGGAGCCGCGGCTGGATTAGAGGAGAAGGCGGAGGAAGCCGTTTCCTCCTCCAGCCCCAGATAAAAACCCGGGGTTGGCCGTGGCAGGAGGAAGACGCGCCCGCGGCCGTGGTGCTTCACCAGCTCGGGTGGAGCTTCCCCTCCCCGTGGCCGCGCGGCCCCACGCCAACCCCCGGTAGGAAGATGGGGGGGACCAGGGGTTGGGGAGGGGGGAGGGGGGGCCCCTGGGGGGGGGTGTGGGGGGGTCCCTGGGGTGGCCCTGGATGGGGGGAAGTCAGGGCAGCTCTTGGCCTTCCCTTCTTTCTTTCAGCCCTCCCCCATCCCTCCCTCTGGTCTTTCCCATCCTCCCGTCCCTTCCCCCTTTTTCCCATCCTCCCTCCCCCCCTTTTCCTGTCCTCCCTTCCCTCTTTTCCCCTGTCCTCCCTCTCCTCTTTTCCTTCCCCTTTTTTCCATCCTCCCTCCCCTCTTTTCCTGTCCTCCCTTCCCTCTTTTCCCCTGTCCTCCCTCTCCTCTTTTCCTTCCCCTTTTTTCCATCCTCCCTCCCCTCTTTTCCCTCCCCTCTTTTCCCTCCCCTCTTTTCCCTCCCCTCTTTTCCCTCCTCTCTTTTCCCATCCTCCCTCCCCTGTTTCCCTTCCCCCTTTTCCCACCCTCCCTTCCCTCTTTTCCCTTCCCTCTTTTTCCCTGCCCTCCCCCTCCTTTCCCTTCCCCTTTTTCCTTCCCCTTTTTCCTTCCCCTTTCCCCTTCCCTCTTTCCCCTTCCCTCTTTTCCCTCCCCTCTTTTCCCTCCTCTCTTTTCCCATCCTCCCTCCCCTGTTTCCCTTCCCCCTTTTCCCACCCTCCCTTCCCTCTTTTCCCTTCCCTCTTTTTCTCTGCCCTCCCCCTCCTTTCCCTTCCCCTTTTCCCATCCTTCCTCCCCTCTTTCCCATCTCTCTCTTCCCCCCTCCCTCCTTTTCCCCGCCCCCAGCCCCATTTACCTCCTCTCCTCCCGACACCCCGTGTCCCCAAAGATCCGTGTCCCCACCCTGACCCCCCACCCTGCCACGGGCCACCCAGGACTGGTGTCACCCCCTCGCCATCTCCCCACAGCTCCCGGCCCTCCGGCATGAAGGTCCTGCTGGTGTTGCTCCTGGCGCTGGTAGCCACAGGTAGGAGAGGTCCTGGGACCCCCCACGTCCACCCGTGGGACCCCCGTGTCTGCCCTAGAAGGTCCCACGTCCACCCGTGGCACCCCCACGCCCACCCCAAGGGGTCAGGTATCTTCCCCAGGGGTCCCACGTCTGCCCGCGGGACCTCCCCACATCTACCTTGGGTGACCCGTGTCCTGCTGCCGGACCCCCGTGTCCATCTTGCAGGGCCCGTGTCCACCCGTGGGACCCTCATGTCCACCTTGGGTGCCCCACATCCAGCTATGGGACCCCCCCACACACGTCTTCTCCAAGGTGTCGTGTGTCTTCCCAGGGGTCCTGTTTCCACCCATGGGACCCTCCACAGCCACCTTGGGTGCCCCACATCCACCTGTGGGACCCCCGTGTCCACCCGTGTCCCTCCCCAGGGGCACCACAGCTGCTCTAGGTGCCCCACGGCTGTCTCAGGGACCTCCATGTCCCCCCGTGGGACCCCCCCTCCATCTACCTGGGGTGTCCCTTGTCCCCCTGTGGAACCCCCCAAGGCCCACCTGTGTCCACCCCAGGGGTGGTTCCACGTCTACCTGTGGGACCACCAAGCCCACCCTGGGGGCCCTCCTCTCTCACGGGCGTCCCCCTGGCACCCCAAACCCACCTTGGGTGCTCCTCCCACTGTACCCGAGACCCCGCACCCACCCATGCCACCCCCATGCCCACCCCGTGGGCCCCACGTTCACTCGCATCCACCCCAGGGGCCCCAGAGCCACCCATGGGACCCCCCCCCATTCACCCCAGGGACCCCCCCGGGTGTCCCCTGTCCACCCCACGGACCCCATGGTCTCTCCCACGTTGGACTGGCCTCTTCCACCCGTGGGACACGGGGCTGAGGCCACCATGTCACACCAGCGGGTCCCAGCCTACCCCATGCCCCCCGTGTCACGGCCTTTTGTCCCCGCAGCCTCGAGGAACGTCCTGTGGGTGATCGAGGGGACCTCCTGCGACCTGCCCTGGCAGGCTGCCCTCTTCAAAGGCGAGAAGTTCATCTGTGGGGGGACACTGGTGGCCAGGAACTGGGTGCTGACGGCTGCCCACTGCCACGTCCCCGGGTAGGAGGCCACGGGGCCAGCGGTGGCCGGTGGGTTCGGTGTCGATGGGCTGAGGCCAACCAGGAATTGATCCGGGTGGCACCTGGGCTCCTGACAAGCAGGTTGGGAGGTTGATGGCATCTCGGCGGGCTTCGCTCTGCCCCTTTCCTGCTTGTTTTTAACCTAAAATTCCGCCCTTTTTTGGGGGGAAAGACACAGCCTAAACTCTGCCCTTTTTGGGGAAGCCATAACCTAAACTCTGACCTTTTCTGGGGGGAAGCCATAGCCTAAACTCTGCCCTTTTTGGGGGGAATCCATAACCTAAACTCTGCCCTTTTTTGGGGATGTCATAACCTAACTTCTGCCCTTTTTTGGGGGGGGAAAGACATAACCTAAACTGCCTGTTTGGGGGAAAGACTTAACCTAAACTCTGCCCTTTTTTGGGGGGGGAAAACATAACCTTAACTCTTTCCTTTTTGGGGGGAAGCCATAACCCTTTTCTGGTCAAGCGATAATGTAAACTCTGCCCTTTTTTTGGGGGGGGGGGGGGCGGGGGGGGAAAGACATAACCTTGCCTCTGCCCTTTTTCCGCTTCTTCTGCCCTTATCCCCACCTCCTGGGACCGCGGCTCTGCCCCTGCTTTGTGTGGATCCCCGTGGCCCCTCCTGCGTCCAATGTGGACACCCCCCCCTTCCCCCCCCCCCCCAACCCTGATGCCTTTGGCTCCATCAGCATCATCAACGTGCGTCTGGGGGGCCAGAGCCACAAGGACTCGGGTGACACCAAGCAGTGGCGCCGCTCGGCCAAGGTCTTCAAGCACCCGCGCTACAACGAGACCAACAAGGACGGCGACCTGATGCTCATCAAGTTCCTCCTCCCCGCCCACGTCAACAAGCACGTGAAGCCGCTGCCGTTGGCCACCCACTGCCCCGTGCCCGGCACGACCTGCCAGATCTCCGGCTGGGGGTCCACCACCAGCCCTGAAGGTATGAAGCCGCTCGCCTGATATCTGGAGGTGCACTGATAACCCTTCCCTGAGGTGTCCGGGCTCCCCCCAAAGTCCCTTTTCCCAGTCCTGTTGGTCCCACTCTGCCCTTTAGGCACCCGTGACCCCTGAGGGAACCCAAGGCGGCGGGGTGACTTCTTCAACAAGAAGCCTTGGAGCTCCTGCTGACCAAAGAAGGGAGATGAGCTCCAAGGCGAAGACCGAGCGGTCCAAGCTGGGTCACTGTGTCTGTCACACCCCCCCGCCCCAGGTGACCTCGTGCCCTCTTGTCACCCACAGTCACCTTCCCCGAGGACCTCCACTGCGCCAAGGTCACCATCGTCTCGGAGGAGCAGTGCCGGCGCATCTACTCCGACTCCATCACCACCAACATGGTGTGCGCGGGCGAGTCCCGCAGCCGGGCTGACTCCTGCCAGGTGGGTGCGGGGTCCAGTCGTTTCGGGGACACCCCCTTCCCCCCCTCCACTCCGGGGTGAGGAACCCCCCGAGGGAAAGTTTTGGGCTGAGAACGGGCCCAATCGGGTGAGACGGGGTCACTCGGCGGGGAGAGGAGGTGGGTGAAGATGCTGGGACAGCCCTGAAATGGCCCCCGGATTTGGGGGTCATTCTTTGGGGCAGGCCATTAGTCGCAGCTCTCCTTCCCCCCCCCCCCCCCCCCCCCCTTTTTGCCTCATCAGGGTGACTCCGGGGGACCCCTCATGTGCGATGGGCGGCTCCAAGGTATCGTCTCTTGGGGTCCGGGCGTCTGCGGAGACCCCAAAAAACCCGGCGTCTACGTCAACCTCTGCAAATACACCTGGTGGCTCCAGGACACCATGAGAAGGAACTGAGCCCCCGGCCCCACCAGCCCTGGGATGGACCCCACAGCTCCTCCTCCTCCTCCTCCCTGATGAAGGTCCCCAGAGCCGGCCGGTCCGAGCGCTGGGGCACAAGCCCTGGGCAGGGGTGGGGGCGGCGGGTGGAGGCAGGGGTTGACCATGGTGGGGGGTCCTGTTGAGACGTCCACGAATAAAGTTTTTTTCGACGTGGCTTTTCACCATGTCTTTAACAGGTGGAGCAGAGCTCAGGTGGGTCAAGGTTGCCCTGATGTTGCCCCACATCTCCTAGGGGCAGGGGAAGACCCAGCTCACCATCTTGGGGGTTGACCCGTTGGCCCTGTCATGGGCTTGACCTCTTGACCCCACCATGAAGTAGACCCATTGACCCTACTGGAGGTAGACTTCTTGACCTCACTGCAGTAGACCCGTTGACGCCCCCCACCCCCCATGGGGTAGAGCACCCCGAGGTAGACCCGTTGACCCCGCCATGGGGCAGATGACCACCTTGAGGTAGACCCGTTGACCCCACCGTGGGCTAGACCGCCACGAGGTTGACCCTACTGCAGGTAGATCTGTTGCCCACCCCTCATTGGGCCAGACCTGTTGCCTGGTTTAGGGTCACCCAGAGTTCTTTGCACCACCACAAGGCGGGGGGGATGACGGCCATCTTGGTGTCACACCCCCCACCCCCACCCCCCCCCACACACACAAGCTCTTGCAATACCTTGAGGCCAGACCCTCCTTTTGGGTGCCACCATCCCAGCCCCATCTCCATGGGCCAACGTGTGACCGGGGGAGAACTTCCCATCCCCAGAGGGGACAAATTTCCCCATGACTCAGCGGGAGCAGAAGGGGCCAAATTTCCCCACCTGGGGTAACGCGGCAGCAGATCCGGGAAGAAATCACCCGCTGGAGGCCAAATTTACCCGCTCGCGTGGAGCCGAGGCCTCTGTTTCACAGGAGCGAGGAGGATTTTTTTTCGCCTCCGTGGGGGTTGGGGGGGGGGGGTCATCACGGCCCCATCTTGGTGGTGGGGGTGGGATGGAGAGCGCCTTCACCCCGGCGTGTCTACGGGACACGGCGGGAGGGTTGGCGGGCCGCGAGAGCGCCTCGCTGTCTTTCCCCGGCGCAAGAGGAGAACCTGGCAAGGTCAGACCAGCACGTGTCGTCCCCCATGGCTCAGCGGGGCAGGGAGCGACGCCGGTCGCCTTGCGCAAGGTGTCACCCTCCCTCTTCCCCCACGTGGCCGAGGCCCGGCGCGTTGGAGGGTGTGGGCCTCGTCTGGCCGCCGCGGTGGGGAAAGAGGTTTTGGGCCGGGTCCAAATCTCCAGGGAGGTGGAGGAGCCCACGGCGGCCACCGGTGACTTCTGCGGGCTCTCGCTCGGCGTTTCGCGGGAAGGTCGGACCACCTTTCAGCAGCCCGTGAAGGGCGTTTGACGGGGAGGGTCCCACCTTGGTGGCCGTCAGCTGTGGTGGGCTGCCACAGCGGGCTCCGGCACCGGCTGCTTTGGGTCCTCCATCATCCGGGGAGGGCTGGTCGAGGTGTTTATTGCTTCTCATCAACGTGTTCAGGGAGGGCTGGTCAATGTGTTCATGGAGGGGTGGTCGACGCATCCACAGAAGGGTGGCCGACGTGTCCAGGGAGGGGTGGCCAACATGTCCATGGAGGTCTGGCCAACGTCTCCACGGAAGGGTGGTCAACGTGTCTATGGGAGGGCTGGTGGACATGTCCAGGGAGGTCTGGCCAATGTATCCAGGGTGGGTTGGTCGACGTGTCCGTGGGATCTCTCAACGTATTTCTGAAGGCACAACCAAGGCGTCCATCAGGGTCTACCTAAGACGGCCGCGGAGGTCTACTCCCCGTGCCCACGGAGGGTTGGCCATCACCTCGTTGGGGTCTATGCAACAAGGTCTGGTCACTGCAACCCTTGGGGTTAGGTCCAGCTGTCCGTGGAGGCGCAGGTGCCACAGTCATGTCCGTGGGGGGTGTCCGGTAAAGTCACCGTGTCCACGGAGGTGAAGTTCAACCATCCCTTCGTCGAGTCAGGACCACCACGGAGCCCGGTTCTGCTGCCCGGGGCAGTGAGCCACCAGCGGGGAAGGAGACACCCACCTTGGGTGCCCCAGGAGGTCTCCAGGTCCACGTGGCTTCAAGGGTGGCTGTGGGACCACGGTGGGGGAGGTTGGGGGTGGGGGGAATGGAATTTGCGTTAGCCTGAAGGTGAGGGTGGGCACGGCTCTGCCAACAGCCGGCGTGTGGCCACTGCCACCGCAGCCGAGAGCCGGGCACCGGTGTCACCACCCCCCCACCCCCCCCCCCCATTCTTGTGTCACCCGTGTCCCCTGAGCCACCTCCTGTGTCACCCGGGGCACTGCCACCCCCTTGTGTCACCCGGGGCACTGCCACCCACGGCGCTACCAGCCCATGTGTCACCCAGGGCCACCACCACCCCACCACCCCCCTGGGTCACCCAGGGCACTGCCACCCCCCTTGTGTCACCCGGGGCACTGCCACCCACGGCGCTGCCACTCCGCGTGTCAACCAAGGCCACCTACGATGTCACCTAGGGCACTGCCATCTCTCGTGTCACCCGGGGCCACCCTGGCCACAGCACGCCCAGGGCTGTGAGGACATCTGGGAGGGGACAGGAGATGGAGGAGGGGGGGGTGGCACGTCCCCTCCCTGTCACTGTAAGTCGGCAGGGGGGGGTGGGGGGGGTGGGGAGGGGGGTGGGGGGGTTGTGTGTGTGCCAGGAGGTCCTGGGTGGCCCTGGCAGTGGGTGGCAGGCCCAGGCTGGCTCTGGGCTAATTAGGTAATTAGCACTAATTACGCCACCGAGATGGGAGCTGAGGAACTGGGAGAACTGGTTGGGCCCAGCCCCAGCCCCCAGCGCTGCGCTAACATCATCACCACCCCACCATCCCCCCCCCCTCCCCCCAGAAATCTCCGTGGGGCTCTGGGGCCCCTCGTGTCCCCACACCCCCTCGTGCCACCTCTTATTCCCCGCAGTGCCCCACGTCCCCTCACTTGCCCCCCCGCCCCCCCTTCCACCAGGGTCCCCCCGTGGGCTCCTGGGTCCCCCACGTCCCCCCCGGGTCACTTAATGTCCTCCCCTGCCCCCTCGACTCTCCCCACATCCCCTCCTGACCAGCCCCACCCCCCCCTCCATCTTCCCTTGTGGGTCCCCTCCACATCCACCCACGACCCCTTGTGTCTTCTCATGCTCTCATGTCTTCCCCCCTCCATGTCCCCTCACACATCATGTCCCCGTGGCTCCCTCATGTCACACACCCCCCCCTCTATGAGCTCTCCTCTCCCCTCACACATCCCCTGTTCCCCCCTCCCCCCCCAACCCAGGATCTCAGGGGAGCCCCCGCGTCACCTCACAAAGTCCCCCTCGTGTCCCCAGGGGATCAGGGATCCTCACACGTGGGATCTCTGGGGACCTTCATGGTGAGGATGTCCACCCAGCAGATCCCCACGGACAGGATCCCCGTGGACGGGACCTCTGGGGCCCACATCCCCACGGCTGGTGGTGTCTGTGGGGCGGATCCCCGGGGACGGGATCCCCGCGGGTTGAAGCCTTGCAGAATTGACCTCCGTGGCCCAGGGTGACCGTGTCCTCTCCCTTCACAGGGGGCATCTCCATGGACGGGATCCCAGTGGATGAGATCTCTGCCCGCCACGTCTCCCCACCAGGATCGCCCCCGGGGTGGGATGCCCACGGCTGATCTCTGCAGCTGGCCACTCCACGGACAGGATCTCCACGGACCGGATCCCCGTAGCGGAGATCAATGTGGACCAAATCTCCACGGATGGGATTTCCACGGACCAGATCCCCATGGGTGGGATTTCCACAGACACGGTCTCCGTGGGTGGGATTTCCACAGACCAGATCCCCATGGGTGGGATTTCCACGGACCAGATCCCCATGGGTGGGATTTCCACAGACACGGTCTCCATGGGTGGGATTTCCACAGACCAGATCCCCATGGGTGGGATTTCCACGGACCAGATCCCCATGGGTGGGATTTCCACAGACACAGTCTCCATGGGTGGGATTTCCACAGACCAGATCCCCATGGGTGGGATTTCCACAGACACGGTCTCCATGGGTGGGATTTCCACAGACCAGATCCCCATGGGTGGGATTTCCACGGACCAGATCCCCATGGGTGGGATTTCCACAGACACAGTCTCCATGGGTGGGATTTCCACAGACCAGATCCCCATGGGTGGGATTTCCACGGACCAGATCCCCATGGGTGGGATTTCCACAGACACGGTCTCCATGGGTGGGATTTCCACAGACCAGATCCCCATGGGTGGGATTTCCACGGACCAGATCCCCATGGGTGGGATTTCCACAGACACAGTCTCCATGGGTGGGATTTCCACAGACCAGATCCCCATGGGTGGGATTTCCACAGACACGGTCTCCATGGGTGGGATTTCCACAGACCAGATCCCCATGGGTGGGATTTCCACGGACCAGATCCCCATGGGTGGGATTTCCACAGACACAGTCTCCATGGGTGGGATTTCCACAGACTAGATCCCCATGGGTGGGATTTCCACAGACACGGTCTCCATGGGTGGGATTTCCACAGAGCAGATCCTCATGGATGGGATCTTACTGAACCAGATGGCCTTGGAGCCTGGCGGACCGGATCCCGGTGGATGGGATCTCTGTGGACCAGATCTCCTTGGGAGAAGGTCACCATGACTGGTGGGTTACAACTCCACGGCATGGGATCTCCGCTGCACGGCCTCCTGGTAGGCGAGACCTCCGTGGGCCAAGCCTCCACAGATGGGCTCCCCAAGGCCACGACCTCTTCGTTGACGTTCTCCCCAGACCAGATTTCCGTGGATCTGCTGGGACAGTTGCTCTTCCAGGAGCTCCAGCTTCACTTCCAGGTTTAGGACCAAAGCCAGACCCAGGCTTCCGCTTGCCACCAGCAGAGAGCGAGATCAGCATCTCCAAACGGTGATTCATCCCAACCAGGCCTTTCCTTTCATCAGGACTCAGCTCCTGGGCTTCTCCGCCCTTAATTGCTCGTCAGGTTGTTAATTGCCTTGAGCTGCTCCCAGCCTCGGCTCCTCTCCCGGCCCTGCCGAACGGGCCGTTGAAGAGGCACAGAGGTGCCTCCACACCACCCCTGGAGCTCCTGCACCCACATCGCAGCTCCGGTCCCACCCCGTCAAGGATGGGGTGGCTTTCGAGGACCCATCGGTGCCTCAAAACCTCTTGAGACCTTCCCACCGTGGGACGTGCCGGAGCTCGGACACGGCTCTTCCACGGGGAGGGGAACCACGGGCGGAAAAGGGCTTGAACCTCCCGGAAAGAGATTACTGGGGGCTGGCGACCGCTGATGAGCTCAGCAGGAATTTCGGGCCACCCGCCCCGTCTGCCCAGTGCCTGGCACACGTCCCGGCACGCAGGCGAAACCCGCCCGGGGAAGGGCCGGGAGACGCCGCCGGGGTCCCCGGCTGTTGCCACCACCCCCGGGCGGAGATGTCCCAGGTAGCCCTGGGGACGGCGGGTGACACCGTTTGCACCTGGGTCACCATCTCGAGGGGCGAGGGGTGGTCACCTCCCACTTTGGAGACTCCCCCCACCCCTCCGTGCCGTTGTGAGGAAGAAGGAGGTGACGCGCCTCTGGGGTTGGGGACAATTGTCCAGCCCGGGGAGTTGGGGGTGAGGTGGGGGGTGGTGTGTGACAAGTGGCACCCCCATCTCCGGTGTCCCCCTTGACTCACCAGAAGCGACTCGCAGGGTTGGCGACGGGACGGGGCCTCGCCCAGCGCTCACCCACATCCGTGGCGTTACTCATCGGGGACGTGCAACCGCTGCCGGGTGCCACCGGAAGGTGACACGTAGGTCCCTGGGGACCTCCAGGCTGGTGACATCCTCCAGGAGCCATGTCCCCCACCCCGGAGTTATTTTTTTGGGGGGGGGGGGGGTCCCTATTTTGAGGTGGCCCCCTGGGCTGGGAGAAGACCCCCGTGCTCTTTTTGCGCACACCAAGCTGTTCTTGCACATGCAGGAGCATGTGTGTGTGGGGGGGGGAGCGTGTGCACACGCTTGTGCGTGTAATGTGGTGTCTGCTGGGCTTGGGGTGTGGACGGATGGACAGATGGATGGGTGGATAGATGGACAGAAGGATGGAGGGAGGGATGGAGGGAGGGATGGATGGATGGATGAAGGGATGGATGGATGGGTGGATGGATGTATGGATGGAGGGAGGGATGGATGGATGGACGGAGGGATGGACAGATAGATGAAGGGATGGACAGAGGGACAGAGGGACGGACAAGTAGATGAAGGGATGGATGGAGGGATGGACAGAAGGATGGACAGAGGGATGGACAGGTAGATGAAGGGATTGACAGAGGGACAGATGGACGGATGGATGGATGAAGGGATGGATGAAGGGATGGATCAGTGGGTGGGCAGATGGGCAGACAGATAGGAGGACATACAGACAGACAGCTCACTGGAAAGACAGGTGGCAGGGTGGCTGGACAGACAGGCAGACAGCTGGGCAGATGAGGGAATACGGTGGAGGTGAACAGCTTGAGATGCGAGCGGATTGACTGCTGGTGGGGAGACGGACGGGCTGATGGAGAGATGAATGATGGACAGACTGGCGAACAGACGGACGGACAGTGAAGCAGCTGGCTGGCTGGCTGGGACGGAGAGATGGACAGAGAAGCTGTTGGACAGATGGACTTATGGACTTGCAGTCGGATGGATGGATGGATGGATGGATGGATGGATGGATGGATGGATGGATGGATGGATGGATGGATGGATGGATGGATGGACGGACGGACGGGCGGACGGATGGACTTACAGCAGGATGGACAGAGAGGATTATAGATGGATGGGGGACAGACAAACAGATGGACAGACTTACAGGTGGACAGCGGGATGGCCAGACTGACAGAGGGGTGGACATGGAGACAGATGAACGGCCAGGCAGGTGGGAGGACAGACAGACGGACAGCTATCCGGACAGGCTTACAGTTGCTTGGACAGACAGATGGCTGGGCAGGTGGACAGAGGGATGGGACAGAGGGATGGATCACCAGACAAACGGATGGACAGGCAGGAGGAAGATCCCCCGTTACCTCCCACCACCCCTGGGGGCTGGGTGGGCACCCCGACACCCCGGGTTGTTTTTTTTTGGGGGAGCGGGGGAAACAGACACACACAGGACTCCTCACCCTCCCCGTGTCCGTGGGGAGGGCTGGGCGGTTCCCCCGTTCGGCGAGGAGCCCGGCGGTGTTTCCTCCCGGACATCAAAGCGATAACCACCGGCGGGGCCGGGGAGACACCCACGGGCCACGCTCGTCCCGCTGCCGTGTGGCCCGGTCACCCAACCACTCTTGAGTCACTCCGCCGGAGACACAGCCTACTTTTCGCCCTGGGTATAAATACGCCTGAGCCACCGGCTCTCAGCTTCCCGACACTCCGAGCCGGCCCCGTCCTTCTCCTCCGGCAGGTGAGCCCATCCCCGTGGACCTGGGCCACGGATTTCCCTCCCACCCCGCCGAAGGATGGACGCTGCGGGGCGGCGTGGGAACCAGGGGGTTCCCCAGCTCTCGGTGGGCGTTTCCCGCCAGTCGGCTCCATCCGCCCGCCACGCGCTCAGCCCACGCGGTGGGCTCCGGTTTGGGTGGGTTTGGTGGGAACACCCTCCGTAGCCCGGTTTAGCCCGGATCTCCCAGTCGCACACCCATCGGAGGCGGGGTGGGCGGCGGGGGTGGTCCTTCCTGAGCTGGTGCGGGGGTGGGTTTGGTGCCACCGGAGAGCTCGACTCAACCAAAAACGGGGTGGTGGAGAGGGGCCAAGACCACCCCGAGGTCCGTCAGGGTGAAGGTCCACCAAAAACACCACCAGCAGCTCGGTCACTTCGCCTCCATCCCGTGGGGAAGGCAGAAGGACACCAGTGAGGACCTTCCCCGTAGCATCCACGTGGCACCAGCCTCTCTCCTGCAGCCCCAGGGCTGATCCGGTTTGGTTTCTCTGCTCCAGGAATGGCTCGTGATGGCCACGGGACCTTCGGCTTCATCCCCATCTTCATCCTGGCAGCCAGCCTGCTGCTAACAGCCCTGCCGCCGGCGCGAGCTCAGGTGAAGGGCAATGAAGGCGACGAGCGTAAGTCAAGGCGGTGGCCAAGGAGGGAGGACGGGGCCACCACGGGCTTTCCCTGGGCATCTTGTAAGGGAACGTGTCCCATGGGATGGGGTGGGATGGGATGAGGAGATGCCTCCTCTTGGCTCGTGGGAATCTTGCCGACGGGGAGGTTTGGGCATGGCCCTACCGTTTCGAAACCTGTTTTGGTTTCGAGCTGAGAGAAAGCAAACACCCCCCTCGACGCAGAGAAATGGGCTCAAAAGATCCGCAGAGGAAAATTCCTGCATCCCATCGGAGGCACTGGGATTTCCGGGATCTAACCTTCTCTCCCACCTCTGGAAGTTCTGACGGGGATTTCTGTCACAGCGGCAAAAAGGAGACAAAAAAGGGAAAGAAAGGAGAGACCGAATCCTGATGGCACCATCCCCTTCCCTTCTTTTGGCCTCCAAAATGATGCGGTGCCAAAGGAGATCCCGACTGGACAGAAAGAGGAGGCCTGGGATTTCCAACGGTTGGATGCAAAGACCTCGGATCTGACCTGATCTCGGGGCCTTTTAACCCAAACTGGTGTCCCCAAGAGCTGAAGCCAAAATGCCCAGGTCCTGAGGAGAAGGAACAGGGTCAAGGCCAAACACGATGGCTGGATAATTTGTCTCCGTGACTGTTCAAGAACTGTTTTTTTTTGGGGGGGGGGGGGGGGGCAGGGTTATCATTTGGGATGGAGCCACCATCTTCTTGGTTGGAGCTCTCCAGCTTCTGGAAATCCAGGCGATGGATTCTACCACAGGGCAGGATCCACCATCTTGCGTTGCCAACGTCACCGCTGATCCACCTTTGTTGACGGATACCCCTCCACTGTGGGGGAGCTCGGGGAAGCCTCTGAGATGCCCTCAAGATGCTCGGTGGAATCTAAACATGCTGGTTGGTGTCCAAAGGCTCAAGGACGGCCCTCGGGATGACCATGGACGTTTCCCCCGATGAGCACTGGCGGGAGGATGATTCCCACCCTCCGACTCTGGCAGCGCTGCTGGGACCGGATAGGGGCGAATGCCAGGCACCTTGAAACTGGGGCGTCTCCCACTGCCACCCGTCACAGGTTGCAATCCCCACTGGCACAAACCAGTCCCACCAGTAAATTCCAATGTCCCAACCTTCGGTGGAAGGCAAGATACCGTGGACCGGAGCCACCTCGCACACGTTCGGGATCAATACAGGGCTTCCCCAGGGCAGCCAACACTCAGAGGTGACACAACTGCGAATTCTCCCCAAAATAGCCAAAAAACGGGTGGGGTGCCCCAGGCCACGGCAGGGAGGACTCAGCCCCCAAACCCATGAGGACACCTCGGGGAGCAAGGACTTGATATCGCCCATTTGGAAGTCCTACTGCGTGTTTTTGGGGTGGGAGGAGGGTCTTTTTCTTGAAAGAACACATTTTTTTTTACACTGATTATCCTCTTTTTCTTTTTTTTTTTTTTTAAAAAAAAAAAAAAAAAAAAACAAAAAAACAAACAAAACAATCTTGCCTCCTCCCACTCGGACACAACTCAGCATCAGGGGTCTTCTCCAGTGGCCTTGGCGGAGTTGCCACCTGAAGTTCCCCAAAGGCCTGCATGGAGCTGTAGGTGGAGGCCAGGAGGGACACCGGGAGCACGTCTCAAGGCTTTGGACTCCCCTTGCGTGGCCACCCAAGAGGAGCTCTGCGTGGTCACAGCCTCCAGATGGCCACAGCCGCCAAGATGGTCAACGGCCTCAAGATGGTTGCCCCGCGAACCTCCTTCATCACAAATACCCTGACGAGGCGAGGGGCACCTCACCTTGTAGACACCTGATGGTGGATGGGGGTGGGATTGTCTCTCAGAACGGTCCCTTCCTCTCTCCAAGGACCATCAATGTTGGGCAACTCCAGTGGACATCCCCCACCCGCTGCAGCCACCTAAAGCAAAGAGAGATGCCTCCAGGGACCTCAAAAGGATGGCAGATGGATCCCGGGACCTCAAAAGGTTGGGAGATGGCTCCAGGGACCTCAAAAGATTGGGAGATGGCTCCCGGGACCTAAAAAGGTTGGGAGATGGCTCCCAGGACCTCAAAAGATTGGGAGATACCTCCCTGCACCTCAAAAGGTTGGGACATGCCACCAGAGACCTGAAAGAGCGAGAGGACCTTGTCAGAAGCGGGGGCTGCAAGTGGCGCGACGCTTTTTCTAAGATCTGATCAAAGACCCTCCCAAGCCAAGGTGGTGGCACCTTCTTCTCAATCAACCCGATGAGACCAAGACATCTCGGCTCCAGAGCGACGTAAGGACTCGCGTTCCTGAGCGAACTCCTCATTTCTCTCTGCATCAGGGCTTCTCCTGGTCATGTTGATGCAACCATCTCCTACCCTGGCCCCGACGTGGGGACGTGAGCCACCCAGGAGGTAGGAGGATTTTCGAGCTGGTCCTACAGGCTTTCTCACCAACCAAGGACGGAGAAATCAGCTCTTTTAGAGGTGCGTCATCTCCCTTTTGGAGTCCAATCTTGGGCTGGGAGGAATCTCAGGGGTGGAACGGATGCCCCTCCCAGAAGCACATGGCGAAACCAGAGGAGATAAGTGGCTCCTGGTGACTTCCTGATGCGCAGTGACTTCCAGGACAGCTCATTGGCACAACGCAGCCTGACAGACCGGTCCCAGGGGTCTTCCTCCTGGGAGGTCCCACCTCAGTCCTCTGCCTGGGATGGGCGGGCAAGTCGTGGAGTCCATCAACCGGCGCCAGGAGAAAACAGACCTTCAAGGACCGGTTCAATCTTGGCTACAGACGGTTGGATCTCAACTCATCCCCAAATCATCGTTTTTTCAATAAAAAAAAAAAAAGCCTGGTGGGACCCCGGTAGGATGATAGGTGACTCAGTAAATTAAAAAAAAAAAAATATTAATTTTAGGTTTTTAAGACGCTTTTGAGTGTTCTGATGGGAGTTTAAGGCTGAAAAAAGAGCGACCTTTTCTTTTTCTCTTTCATTTCACCTTTTCAAAGACGTTTTTTGCAACGTTTCGCTGCCTTTTCAACCCAAAATGGCAGGTTTGGGGTTGGTTTTTGTTGTTTTTGTTTTGGTTTTGGTTTTTTTTTTTTTTTGAAGAGTTTGCAGGCTCCATCCATGCGTCGCACTCACGGCACCCTTGGGTGCTCTGTGTTACAGTGCCGGAGGAGGACGAGTCCCGGATCATCGGTGGGAGACCCTGCTCCATCAGCGACAGACCTTTCCAAGTTGCCCTCATCAAGAGAGGTCAGATCCTGTGTGGGGGAAGCTTGATAGACGCCCAGTGGGTCCTGACCGCCGCCCACTGCAAGCAGCCAACCAGGTAAGGTGGGGCCGTGCTCACGTGACCCATGGCTTCCGGTGAGCCGATGTCACCTTTCCCAGGACTCCGCAATGACCAAGGGTGAGAGGTGGGTCCTCCAGGTGTTGGCGCCCAGCCGCTGGAAGATGATGCCTCCAAGTGGTGGCATCCGGAGAAGCCCCAGATGTTGGCGTCTCCAGGGGTCCGTTGCCTCCAGATGTGGACACATTCAGATTTCGGTGGCCAGAAGTTGAGGCTGGCACCTTCAGGAGTTGGGAGCTCCAGGGCTGGGGACCTCCAGAGGTTGGTACGTTCAGATATTCATACCCCAGATGTTACCTTCAGAGCCTGGAGGTCCCCGTGGCCAGTAGCTCCAGATGTTGATGTTCCAGGCCTGGGTGTCTCCAGATGTTGGTGTTCAGGTGGTGGCACCTCTTGAGGGCAATGAAGGCACAGCCATCCCACCTTGGCTCGTCCCCCCCCTCCTCAAACCAAGTTTCTCCAGCTTCGCCCCAAGGTCCTGCGAGAGGGCGCTGGACCTTTTGGAGGGGAAATAATGAAAAAGAGCCGGCAAAAAGTCGGCAAGCGGTTGGGCTGAGGGCAACAGCGCTGAGATGTTGCAGGTGGGGCTCCTGGAGTCAGGAAGAGGAAGTCAAGACACGCCACAGTTTCCCGTGGAGATGGCAGACGCCCCCAGGGCACCTGGGCCATCAGGGAGCTCTTGGAGAAGAGCTGGCTCATGAATCCGCAAGGCAGTAGCGTGTTTTCCTGGCCTCCTCCCCAGGGGAAACGGGATATGGTGGTCACCTTAACTCTACCTGCTCAATGTGGAGAAGCTCCAATGGCCAGGTCTTGACCATCTCCTTGAGGCCAAGGGTTTATGAGTCCCCTCTGGAGGGACCAGCACTGATTTCTTGACCTTTTTCCCCCGGCCAGGGACCTGAGGGTGTTGATCGGGACGAACACGTTACAAGACGGGACAGGGGTAATGAGGTCGATTTCGAAGCTCCAGGTCCACCCGGCCTACAACCCCCACAAGAACGACAATGACTTCATGCTCTTGAGGTTGAACAAGCCCGTTCAGTTCAGCAATAACATCAAGAAGATCCGGTTAGCCACCAAGTGTCCCACGGATGGGATGAGGTGCAGCGTCTCGGGTTGGGGCACGACCAAGTCCCCTGGAGGTACTGACTCGTGACGGAGACCGCGGTGGAAGAGGCGGGATGAAGGGTGGCAACTGGGTGGGGGGAGAGGGTTTGCCAAGGAGACCGGGTGACCTTCTCAACCGGGACAACAGGACAAGGGCTTACTTGGCGTCACCTTAACTCTGCCCAGCACCTTCCCACGGAGAACGACTCCCAGTTGGCTTTCACTTCCGGGGTTGGGTTTCCTTTGCTTTGACCTCCCCCTCTCTACTGGAAGCATCTCCGCCCTCCACCTCCCCAAGAACCCTATGGGAGGTGGCACGAGGTCTCCTCCAGCCTCAGTGTTGGCGGTGGTGGAAGGGGGGAGTTTCTCCTTCTCACCGCCCTCCTTCTCTCCCCATCCCCACCTCGTTCCACAGCCAAGCTGCCCCGAAATCTCCAGTGCGCCGCCATCCAAGCCTTCGGGAGGGAGAAGTGCATGAGGGCGTACGGATCCGCCATCACCCCCAACATGTTCTGCGCCGGCGTCCCCCAGGGGGGCATCGATTCCTGCCAGGTACGAAGCGGGTGACGTCCCTCAGGCCACCTCCCAGGATGCCGCCGGGGAGAGGAGGGTCTTGGTGTGGCTTTGAGGTCAAGGCCAAGGGGGTGAGCTGGGGTTTGGGTTCCTGCAAGGCGAGCCAGGAAAGCGAGGAAGGGCCACAGCGCGTGGGTGGTTCTAAGCAAGGTTTGGGGTTCCACCAATGACGTTCTTCTTGAGCCATGGAGCTGGAGCTGGGTCCCAAGAGGTGGAGGAGTCCATGCAAGGTTTGGGTTCCTCCACAATTATCTCCAACCCAAGGCACGAAAGTGTGGAAGGTCCACAGCATGTGGACGGGTCCATGAAAGGTCCACGGTGGGTGGAGGGGTCCATGGAAGGTCTGAGGTTCCACCACCAGCCTTCTCCTTGACCTGCAGAGCTGGGTCATGGCACGTGGATGGGTCCACTCAAGGTTTGGGGTGCCACCAGTGACCTCCTCCTTGACCCACAGAACTGGGCCACAGCACGTGCTTGGGTCCACTCAAGGTTTGGGGTCCCACCACCAACCTTCTCCTTGAGCCACAGAACTGGCGATGGGACACAGCACATGGAATGGGTCCACTCAAGGTTTGGGGTGCCACCAGTGACCTTCTCCTTGACCCACGGAACTGGGTCCCGGCACATGGAACGTGTCCACTCAAGCTTTGGGGTCCCACCAGTGACCTCCTTGACTCATAGAGCTGGGCCACAGAACTTGGTTGGGTCCACTCAAGGTTCAGGGTCCCACCACCAACCCTACCCTTGACCCACGGAGCTGGGGATGGGTCACGGGACATGGAACGGGTCCACTCAAGGTTTGGGGTCCCACCAGTGACCTTCTCCTTGGCCCACAGAGCTGGGCCACAACATGTCATTGGGTCCACTCAAGGTTTGGGGTCCCACCACCAACCTCCTTGACCCACGGAGCTGGGTCATGGCACGTGGATGGGTCCACTCAAGGTTTGGGGTCCCACCACCAACCTCCTTGACCCACGGAGCTGGGGATGGGTCACGGCACGTGGAACGGATGGGTGTGTGGGGGGGTGTGTGTGTGTGTGTCCCAGTTGACCCCACCCCGTGTCCTTGTCCCCCCACTCAGGGCGACTCGGGGGGCCCACTGGTGTGCAATGGGGAGCTGCAGGGCGTGGTCTCCTGGGGGATGGCCGTCTGCGGGCGCCGTGGACAACCCGGAGTCTACTCCAACGTCTGCCGGGCCGTGCCGTGGATCCGGAAATACATCGGGAGGCAGTGAGACCCCCCCACGAGGGATTTCACCCACCCCCCCACGAGGGACTTCAAAACACGCCCTCCCCTTTTTTGGGGGGGGGGACGTGGGAGCAATGGGAATTTTCCCAGAATGCACCTGGGGAGCAGTGAAATGGCGGGGCGGGGCGGGGGGGGCCAGATGTGTGAAATAAAAGGAAAGAGTGAAACATGAGTGGGTGTGGGACACACACACACCCCCCCACGCGCACACACACACACACCAGTGGGTGTGGGGGGGTAACTGGTTTTGGGGGGCAGTGGGAATTGGGGGCACTGGGAGCACTGGGGGGGTAACTGGTTTGGGGGGGCAGTGGGAATTGGGGGCGCTGGGGAGGGGGCCCAGTGGGAACTGGGGGGTAACTGGTTTGGGGCGCGGGGGGGGTCACCATCTGTTTAATGAGCAACATGGAGTGATTTCCCTCGTTAGCGTTAACGAGAAGAACCTCCATTTCCCATCCCCCTCCCCCTCCCCTCCCGCTGCTGGGAAAGGGCCTAATTAATCAGACTAATTAACAAGACTAATTAATAAGACGTCCTGATTAATAAGACTAATTAATGGCGATAATTAATCTTCAGTCCCGATCCGTTCACACCTCCTGGTGCTGGGACTCTCGAGGCAGCCATCGTGGGCTGCGGGGGCCCCGCCCTCATTAATTACCTAATTAATGACTGAATTAATTTGCAGCAGTCAAGGAGCGGAGGCGGCGCTAATTGGGAGGCTCGGGGAAAGCCGAGGTCACCCGTGGGAGGGGCAGTGGGGGGGGCGCTGGGGACACGGGGAGGCGGGGAGAGGGACAGGGCCACCTTGTTAGGGTTAATTAGTCTTCTAATGAGCTGAAGGCGGGGTAGGGGGAGCTCAGCCCACGGGTGACGTCAGCACCCCCGCGGGTGACATCGGTGCCTGCGAGGGGTCTGTCCCCACGGGGGATGCCTGACCTTGGACTTAGGGACATGTGTCGCCCCTCCGCTGGTGACATCAGCACCCCCACGAGTGACATCAGCACTTCCACAGGTGACAATAGCGCCTGCGAGGGGTCTATCCCCACTCGTGACACGTGACCTTGGACTTGGGGACACGTGTCCCCCTCCCACGGGTGACATCAGCCCCCCTCCCACGGGTGACATCACCACCCCCACGGGTGACATGGGTGCCTGCAAGGGGTCTGTTCCCACAGGGGACACGCCAGGGTGGGGGGTGTGGCTTGGGGGGAGTGGGCGTGGTTGGGGAAAGGCACCGCCCCCTCACCCCTGATGCCCCTCCTCCAAGTGGATCACCCCGCCCCTCACCCCCTTAGCCCCACCCCCCATTTAAAGGTTCCCTTAGCCCCACCCCCTCATTAGGGTTCCTGTAACCCCGCCCCCTTTGACTCCACCCCTTCCTTCCCATTCCCCTTAACCCCACCCCCTTCTAAATGTCCCCTTAGCCCCGCCCCATTGGGGGGCACTTGGCCCCTCCCCCTCTTTAGGGTCCCATTAACTCCGCCCCCCTTTGACCCCCGCCCCCTTATTTCCCCGTTCCCTTTAGCCCCGCCCCTAATTTGGGATTTCCCCTTAACTCCACCCCCCGACCTCACGTGACCCCACAGTGGGAGGGGCCTGCAGGAAGGGGGGTAGCCCCAACACCCCCCTCCCCCACCCCACCCCCCCCCCCGCAGAGAAGCAAAGGATTGTGGATCGTTTGGGGCTGCCTGGAGGTGACCTGGGAGGGGCACTGGGACATACTGGGAAGCAGAGGGAGGATCAGATAGGTGTGGGGGTGAACTGGGGGGCACTGGGGAGGTCAGGGAGGGAACTGGGGGGCACTGGGGAGGTCAGGGAGGGCACTGGGGGGCACTGGGGAGGTCAGGGAGGGCACTGGGGGGCACTGGGGAGGTCAGGGAGGGCACTGGGGGACACTGAGAAGGTCAGGGAGGGAACTGGGGGGCACTGGGGAGGTCAGGGAGGGCACTGGGGGGCACTGGGGAGGTCAGGGAGGGCACTGGGGGGCACTGGGAAGGTCAGGGAGGGAACTGGGGGGCACTGGGGAGGTCAGGGAGGGCACTGGGGGGCACTGGGGAGTTCAGGGAGGGCACTGGGGGGCACTGGGGAGGTCAGGGAGGGCACTGGGAGGTCAGGGAGGGCACTGGGGGGCACTGGGGAGGTCAGGGAGGGCACTGGGGGGCACTGGGAAGGTCAGGGAGGGAACTGGGGGGCACTGGGAAGGTCAGGGAGGGCACTGGGAAGGTCAGGGAGGGCACTGGGGGGCACTGGGAAGGTCAGGGAGGGCACTGGGGGGCACTGGGGAGGTCAGGGAGGGCACTGGGGGGCACTGAGAAGGTCAGGGAGGGCACTGGGGGGCACTGGGGAGGTCAGGGAGGGCACTGGGGGGCACTGAGAAGGTCAGGGAGGGCACTGGGGGGCACTGGGGAGGTCAGGGAGGGCACTGGGGGGCACTGAGAAGGTCAGGGAGGGCACTGGGGGGCACTGGGACAGACGGGGAGGTCCTAGAGGAGCTCGGAGGGGGTGCGCTGGGATGCCTTGCGGTGTACTGGGACATCCTGGGAGGCCCCAGGGACACTGAGATGCAAACTGGGAGGCGCTGGGAAGCGCTGGGGCAAACTGGGAGGCGCTGGGAAACCCTGTGCAGCACTGAGATGATGTGCTGGGACGTTCTGGAAGGCAGTGGGACGTACTGGTTTGTACGAGGAGGCACTGGGATACACTGGGAAGCACAAGGATGCAGTGGGAGCCCCTGGGTGGCACTGGGAGGACCCGGGAGAAGCTGGATTGAACTGGGAGGCACTGGGATGCTCCAGGAAGCCCCTGGAGGTACTGGGAAGGAGTGGGAAGTTCCTGGAGGTACTGGGAAGCACTGGGAAGTTCCTGGAGGTACTGGGAAGGAGTGGGAGGTAGGTGGGATGCCCAGAAGGGGCACACTGGGAGGCCCCAGGAGACACTCGGAGGCACTGGGATGCCTTGAAAGGCACTGGGAGGCAGTGGGGGGGGGACTGAGGAGGCACTGGGGGGAGCTGGAAGGCCCTGTGGGGGCTCTGGGAGGCACTGGGAAGTTACTGGGAAGGCACTGGGATGCCCTTGGAAGTGACTGGGGGGGGCCACTGGGAGTCTCTGGAGAGTCCCTGGGAAGCACCGGGAGGCCTTTGGAAGTTCCTGGGAAGGCACTGAGGGGCACTGGGAGGAACTGAAACGGCCTGGGAAGCCTTGGAAAGTTACTGGGAAGCATTGGGAGGCGCTGGGAAGGCACTGGGAGGCCCTTGGAAGTTCCCGGGAAGACATCAAGAGGGACCGGAACGCCCCGGGAAGGCACCGGGTGGCTCTGGCACCGCCCCGGGATGGGTGTGGCTGGGTGTGGCCCCGCCCCCTCCCGGTCAGGCCCCGCCCCTCGGCCAGGCCCCCGCCCCCCCCCCCCCCCCCCCCCCCCCCGTCCAGGCGGGGCCCCCCGCGGGGATTTAAGGGGCCCGGCCCCGCGCCCCGCACCCTCCTCTTCCTCCTCTTCCTCCCGCCGCCATGGAGCGCCTCCTGCCGCTGCTGCTGCTGGCCACCGGTGGGGGCACTGGGGGGGGGCGCTGGGGGGCGCTGGGGGGCGCTGGGAGGGTGCTGAGGGGCACTGAGAGGGTGCTGGGGGGTGCTAGGAGGTACTGGGAGGATGCTGGGGGGCACTGGGAGGCTGCTGGATGGCGCTAGGGGACACTGGTAGGGTGCTGGGGGGCACCGGGATGGCACTGGGAGTGTGCTGGGGGGTGCTAGGAGGTGCTGAGGGGCACTGGGAAGGTGCTGGGGGGTGCTAGGAGGCACTGGGAGGGTGCTGGGGGGCACTGAGAAGGTGCTGGGGGGCACTGGAGAGGTGCTGAGGGGCACTGGGAAGGTGCTCGGGGGTGCTAGGAGGCACTGGGAGGGTGCTGGGGGGCACTGGAGAGGTGCTGGGGGGCACTGGCAGGGTGCTGGGGGGCACTGGGAAGGTGCTGGGGGGTGTAGAAGCCACTGGGGACTTCTGGGGGTTGCTGGGGGGCATTGGGTGGGTGCTGGGGGGCACTGGGGGGCTGCTGGGGGGTGCTAGGACATACTGAGGGGCACTGGGAGGGTGCTGGGGAGCACTGGGAAGGTGCTAGGAGGGTTCTAGGAGGCACTGGGAGGGTGCTGGGGGGTGCTGGGGGGCATTGGGAGGGTGCTGGGGGGCACTGGGGGGTGTTGGAAGGGTGCTGAGGGGCACTGGGAGACACTGGGAGGGCACTGTGGGGCACTGGGAGGGTGCTGAGGGGCACTGGTGGGCACTGGGAGGGTGCTGAGAGGGGGGGACTACAGGACACTGGGGAGCACTGGGAGGGCATTGGGGGGGTGCTAAGGGGTGCTGGGAGGGTACTGGGGAGCACGGGGTGGCACTGGGAGAGCACTGGAAGGCACTGGGAGGGCTTTGGAGGGCACTGGGGGTGTCAGGAGGGCACTGGGAGGCACTGGGGGTGAAGTGGGGGGGCACTGGGAGGGAATTGGTAAGCACAAGAAGGTGCTGGGGGGGGGACACCAGGAGGGAACTGGGGAGCACTAGAGGGTGCTGGGAGGGTACTGGGGGGGGGGGGCACTGGTTTGAGGAGGGGGATTGGAAGGTACTGGGAGGACTCAGGAGGCACTGGGGAGTAGTGGGAAGGGGGTGGAGGTGAACTGGGGACACTGGGAGGCAGTGGGAGTGCACTGGTGTGAGTGGGAGAGGAAGAGGAGGTGCTGGGGGGCACTGGGAGGCAGTGGCAGCACTGGGGGAGTGTAGAAGGGAATGAGGAGGGTCCTGGGAAGGAGCTGGAGGGGAACTGGGAGCACTGGGGCACGCTGGTGGCACGTGGGAGGGAAGGGAGAAGCACTGGGAGGGAGCTGGGGCGATCTGGGGGCGCTGGGAGAGAACTGGAGGCTACTGGGAAGACCTGGCAGGCAGCAGAAGGAAATAGTGTGACGCTGGGAGGCACTGGGGGCCACGGAGAGGGAACGAGGCGGCGTTGGGCAAGAACTGGGAGGCACTGGGAGGGCACTGGGGTAAACTGGGAGGCAGTGAGTGGGAAGCGGTAGGTCAGTGGGGATACTGGGAGGGAAAGGGGAGAGCTGGGAGGACGCGGGGGCGACACGGGGAGATGTTGGGTGGCCCAAGAGGGAACGGGGCGGGAACTGGGAGGCACTGGGAGAGAACTGGGAGGCACTGGGAGACAGTGGGTGGGAAGCAATAGGTCACTGGGGATACTGGGAGGGAAAGGGAGAGCTGGAAAGATGCGGGGGTGACACGGGGAGATGTTGGGTGGCCCAAGAGGGAACTGGGCGGGAACTGGGAGGCACTGGGAGAGAGTGGGTGGGAAGCAATAGGTCACTGGGGATACTGGGAAGGAAAGGGAGAGCTGGGAGGACGCGGGGGTGACACGGGGAGATGTTGGGTGACCCAAGAGGGAACTGGGAGACACTGGAAGGGCACTGGGGGACACTTGTAGGCGGGGTGTGGGAAGCGGTAGGTCAGTGGGGATACTGGGAAGGAAAGGGAGATCTGGGAGGACGCGGGGGTGACATGGGGAGATGTTGGGTGGCCCAAGAGGGAACGGGGCGGGAACTGGGAGGCACTGGGAGAGAACTGGGAGGAACTGGGAGGCACTGGGAGGAACTGGGAGGGAACTGGAAGGCACTGTGAGACAGTGGGTGGGAAGCAATAGGTCACTGGGGATACTGGGAAGGAAAGGGAAAGCTGGGACGACATGGGGGTGACACGGGGAGATCTTGGGTGACCTAAGAGGGCAACTGGGAGGCAACTGGGAAGGGCTGAGCCCCATCTCCGCTCCCCCCAGTGGCCGTGGGGGACGAGAACCGGATCGTGGGGGGCCAGAGCTGCCAGAAGAAGCGTCACCCCTACCAGGTGGTGCTGCTGGGCCCCCAGAAGAACATCCACTGCGGTGGGGTCCTCCTGGGGAGGTCCTGGGTGCTGACGGCCGCCCACTGTGACACCAAGAGGTGGGGGGGGGCAGGGCCCTCGCTGGCCACGGGCTACTGGGAGGAGGGGTGGAGAAGTCCAGGGGGAGCTGGAGGTGGGCGTGGGGAGGGGAGGACCTGGGTGGGGGGTCATCTCAATGGGGATTGGCCACCTCAACCATCTAGGGGGGGCTTCCAGAATGATCATCTACTGGGTTGGCCACCACAACCATCAGGTGGGCTCACAGAATGACCATTTAATGATTTGGCCACCACAATCATCAGGTGGGCTCCCAGAATGACCATTTAAGGATTTGGCCACCACAACCATCTAGATGAGCTCCCAGAATGACCATCTAACGGGGTTGGCCACCATAACAATCAGGTGGGCTCCCAGAATGCCCATTAAATGGCGTTGGCCACCACAACCATCTTATTTGGCTTCCAGAATGCCCATTTAATGGGTTTGGCCACCACAACCCTCTTGTTGGGCTTCCAGGATGACCACTTAATGGGTTTGGCCACCAGAAACATCAGGTGGGCTCCCAGGATGACCATCTCACAGGTTTGGCCACCAAAACCACGCAGGTGCCTTCTCCTGAGCGTGGTCAGGAGCTCCTCAAAGCCCGGGGCTCCTCTGTCCTGAGGTTCTGCAGGGTCATGGTGGCATCTCCCCACAAACCCTGGAGGTCTCTCCCTTTGGCCACCTGAGGCAACCAAGTGGTGGCCACGTGGGTCTCGAGAGAGGTCTCCTCTCCCCATTCTGGACCAGACCACGTTGGGTGGAGGGGACAAACCAGTTTGAAGAGCTCATGGCAGCTGGTGGGACTGGTCTGGCCTGAGCCCCTGGGAGGACCACGGTGGACCTCAGGCCATCTCCTCGAGGTAGAAACGGGGCCATTCCTCCATTTTTTGGGTGGCCCAAGCTTCTCCTGGCTGAGTACTGACACACAGGGAGGAGCTGTCAGAGAAATGGGGTGAAAAAAAAAAAAAAAACAAAAAAAACCAAAAAAACAATTTTGGGGTTTGGTGGGGCCCTGGAGAGCAGCTGATCGAGGTCCTCAGGTTGGAGCTGGTTTCTCCTCCACCTTGAGTTGAAGAAAAGAGGAGCCACCTCGCTTTGGCCAACTCTCCAGTTGACCCATTGGGTGACTTTAGGCTCCGTTGCCTCAGTTTCTGCCCCCCCCTCCCCCCACCCCCCCTCCCGGGTTGAAGATCCTCAAGGTAGGAGGAGAAACTTCTCCTGATCTCCACCGCGTGGACCTTCTCCTGGGAAGCGCCAGGTCCACTGGAGAACCTCACCGTGGTCCTTTCTCCATCCCACCCCGTTGGCCAGCTCCATCCCCATCCGCATGGGTGACCACAGCTTGAGGACCAAGGAGGGGACGGAGCAGTGCGTCAACTCGGCCAAGGCCTTCATCCACCCCGACTACAACCCCACCACCCATGATGGGGACATCATGCTCCTGAAGCTCCAGAAGCCCGTCCGCTTCACCGACCACGTCCAGCCGGTGGCCCTGCCCCAGCGTTGTCCTCCCCCCAACACCGAGTGTGTCGTCTCGGGCTGGGGCAGCACCAGCAGCCCTGAAGGTAGGTGGAAAGATGGCGGGGGGAGGTCCTTGAGGGTCTTGGGGACATCTTGGGGTCTTGGAGATATCTCAGTGTCTTGGAGACATCTCGGGGTCTCGGGACCATCTCGAGGTCTTGGCAACATCTCGGGGTCTTGGGAACATCTCAGGGTCTTGGAGACATTTCGGGGTCTTGGGGACATCTCAGGGTCTCGGGACCATCTCGAGGTCTCAGGACCATCTCAGGGTCTTGGGGACATCTCGGGGTCTTGGGGACATCTCGAGGTCTTGGGGACATCTCGGGGTCTTGGGGACATCTCAGGGTCTTGGGATATTTCAGGGTCTTGGTGATATCTTAGCGTCTTGGGGACATCTCAATGACATGGGATCATTTCAGGGTCTTGAGACCCTCTCAGCATCTTCGGGACATCTTGGCATCTTGGGGACATCTCAGGGTCTTAGGACCTTCTCAGTGTCTTGGGGACATCTCAGAGTCTTGGAGATATCTTGGCATCTTGGGGACATCTCAGTGATTTGGGACCATCTCGGGGTCCTGTGACCTTCTTGGGGTCTTGGGGACATCTCAGTGACTTGAGACCTTCTCAGGATCTTGGGACAACTCAGGGTCTTGGAGATAACTCGGCATCTCAGGGACATCTCAGTGACTTGGGAACATCTTGGGGTCTTGGGGACATCTCAACAATTTGCGACCATCTCGGGATCTTGGGATCTTCTCAGCATCTTGGGGACATCTCAGTGATTTTGGATCTTCTCAGGGTCTTGGGGACATCTTGGTGTCTTGGGGACATCTCAGGGTCTTAGAGATATCTTGGCATATTGGGGACATCTCAGTGACTTGGGAACATCTCGGGGTCTTGGGGACATCTCAGCGATCTGGGACCATCTCAGGCTCTTGGGGACATCTGGGGGTTTTGGGACCATCTCGGGGTCTTGGGGACATATTGGCATCTTGGGGACATCTCGGCGTCTTGGAGATATCTCAGCATATTGGGGACATCTTGGGGACATTTGAGGGTCTTGGGACATCTCAGGGTCTTGAGGAAATCTCAGCATCTTGAGGACATCTCAGTGACTTGGGACCATGTCAGTGTCTTGGGGACATCTTGGGGATCTTGGGGAAATCTGAAGGTCTTGGGAATATCTCAACATCTTGGGGACATCTCAGTGTCTTGGGGAAATCTCAAGGACTTGGAGACATCTCAGCATCTTGGGACCATCTCAATGTGTTAGGGACATCTCAGCATCTTGGGGACATCTCGGTATCTTGGGACATCTCAACAACTTGGCACCAACTCAACGTCTCAGGATGATCTCGGCATCTTGGGGACATCTTGGCGTCTTGGGACCATCTCAACATCTTGGGGCCATCTCAGCCTCTTGAGGACATTTCAGTGTCTTTGAGACATCTCAGCTCTCAAAGACGGGGACACCTCCGCATCTTGGGACCATCTCAACGTCTCGAGGACATCTCAGCATCTTGGGACCACCTCAACATCTTGGGTCCACCTCCCCCCGTGCTCCCCAGGGGTGGCTGCAGACATCTCCATTCTCCACCAGTTCCCCACCACAACCCTAGGAGACTCCAAAATACCTCCCAAGGCGGCCATCTTGAGACCACCATCCACGGCAGGCAGGTGGGGGGGGGGAGGAAGTGGGGGCTGGTGTCACCTTCGGGTGGGGCCCGTCCCCTGACCGTGTCCCCACCGCGTGTCCCCAGGGTACTTCCCCGACGTTCTCCAGTGCGCCATGGTCTACACCATCTCCAACGAAGAGTGCGCCAAGCTCTACCCCAAGGGCATCACCAAGAACATGCTCTGCGCCGGCGTCATCTCCGGCGGCACCGACTCCTGCCAGGTGGGGTCCTGGGGGGGGTGGGATGGGCTGCCCCACCCTAATGGGTGGGGTGGGTGGAGCCCCACCCCTTCAAGCCCTGCCCACCTGTGGTGATTCCCCCCCAAAATGGCCGTTGAGGAGCAGTAGAAGAACCCAATGTGGGGGACGCGCGTTGCATTAAGGGATGCACCCCCCCTGCCAACCTCACCCCGGGGGCTATAGGGACCTCCTGGCTTCCATAGGTGCACTGGGTGCTATAGGGACCCTTCCCCGAGCCCCACGCACCCCCGGGTGCTATAGGGACCCTCCCCCGAGCCCCATGCACACCCCCGGGTGCTATAGGGACCCCTCCCCGAGCCCCACGCACACCCCCGGGTGCTATAGGGACCCTTCTCTGAGCCCCACGCGCACCCCCAGGTGCTATAGGGACGCTTCCCCGAGCCCCACACGCACCCCTGGCTGCTATAGGGGCCTCTGGGTGTTCTAAGACCCGCCCCCCTTCAAGCATCACACAGCACCCTGGGTGCTCTGTGGACACCCACCCCGCCGATTTCTGGGTGCTATAGGGATCTCTAAGCGGTATAGGGACTTCCTACAGGACCCTCCCCTTACCTGTCCCCAGTGCTTTAGGGGACCCCCAGCATTAGAGGGACCCCCCTGAGGCTGCACAGCCCCATAGGGGCTATAGGGACCTATAGGCACTGTACAGCCCCACCTGGGTCCTATGGGGACCCTTAGCCTCTATAGGGCCCCCCGCATGCTATAGGGACCCTTAGGTGCTTCAGGGACCACAAGACAACCAACGTATAGCTTTCTGGGTGCTATAGGGGTCCCTGAGGTGTTACAGCCCTGCCTGGGTGCTATAGGGACCCCTAGTTGCTATAGGGATCCTCTTGGTGCCGTAGGGACCACCAAGCACTGTACAGCTCCTCTATGGGCTATAGGGACCCCCACGGCATTAAAGGGACCATAAGGCAACATTGCAGCCCCTCCCCAGGTGCTATAGGGACCCCTGAGCTCTATAGGGACACCTTGGGTGCTATAGGGACTCGCAGGGCATGTATAGTCTCCTTCGTGCTATAGGAGCCCCTAGGCACTATGGGAACCTCCTGGGTACTATAGGACCCCCAGGGTGTTATAGGAAAGCCTGGGTGCTCTAGGGACCCCCAAGGACTCAACAGCCCCCCATGGGTGCTATGGGGTCCCCATGGCACTATAGGGATCTCCCCAGTGCTATAGGGACCTCCTGGGCCTCATCTCCAGCACCTTATAAGGCATGGAGGTCTCCATGCCCTGACCCTATAGGATATGGTGGTCTCCATGACTTGACCCTATAGGTTATGGAGGTCTTCATGTCTTGTTCCCATAGGTCATGATGGTCTCCATGCCTTTACCCTATAGAGCATGGTGGTCTCTGTGTCTTGATCCAATAGGGCATGGTGGTCTCAACACCTTGACCCTATAGAACATGGAGGTCTCCACGCCCTGCCCCTATAGAACACAGTGGTTTCCACACCCTGACCCTATAGAACATGGTGGGCTCCACGCCCTGCCCCTATAGAACACAGTGGGCTCCATGCCCTGTTCCCATAGGTCATGGTGGTCTCGACACCTTGACCCTATAGAACATGGTGGTCTCCATGCCCTGACCCTATAGAACATGGTGGTCTCCACGCCCTGCCCCTGTAGAACATGGTGGTCTCTAGGTGGCCCCCATAGACTGGGCTGGTGCTGGAGGGGGGGTGGGAGGAGGGGGTCCCACCCGTGGGTGGGGCGTCCCCTCACGGGGTTCCTTCTCTCCGCCCAGGGTGACTCGGGGGGCCCGCTGGTGTGCGGGGCCGAGCTGCAGGGCATCGTCTCGTGGGGGATGCAGGTCTGCGGCCAGCGCGGCAAGCCGGGCGTCTACACCCGCGTCTGCGAGTACACCGCCTGGATCCACGCCACCATGGGGGGCGACAGCCACGCCTGAACCCCCACGCACCGCCCCCCCCCCCCCCCCAAAAAAAAAAATTGGAAGAGTCCACACCACCCCTTCCCCACCCCCTCCCAAAACACCAGGGGTCTTCTCCTCACGCCCCAGGGAAGAGCTTCTGGAATAAAGCCCTGCGAAACGTGGCCGCCTTCCACCATCTCGTGGCTCCTCCACGGACACGGGGGGCTGTGGGGCTTTGGGGGGGAGGATGGTGGCCACCGTGGAGGCGGGGGGAACTGGCCCCAGTGGTGAGGGTTGGGGTTGGTGGGTGTGGTGGGCAACCCGTGGCTGCGTCTTCAGGGGGTTGGTGGCCGCGGGCGGCAGCTTCCAGCCACGCGTCTGGTGTGGGGGTGGGCAGCTCGTGGCCGCACGTGTTTGGTGGTGGTGGCCGTGGTGGCAACTTCCAGCCACCTGCCTGGTGTCGGTGGCCATGGTGGGAAACTCGTGGCCACACATGTCTGGTGTTAGTGGCCATGGTGGGCAACTCGTGGCCACACGCGTCTGGTGTTGGTGGCCATGGTGGGCAACTCGTGGCCACACGCATCTGGTGTTGGTGGCCATGGTGGGCAACTTGTGGCCACACACGTCTGGTGTTGGTGGCCATGGTGGGCAACTCGTGGCCACACACATCTGGTGTTGGTGGCCATGGTGGGCAACTTGTGGCCACACACGTCTGGTGTTGGTGGCCATGATGGGCAACTCATGGTCACACGCATCTGGTGTCAGTGGCCATGGTGGGCAACTCGTGGCCACACGTCTGGTGTTGGTGGCCATGGTGGGCAAGTTGTGGCCACACATGTCTGGTGTTGGTGGCCATGGTGGGCAACTCATGGTCACACACGTCTGGTGTTGGTGGCCATGGTGGGCAACTCGTGGCCACACATGTCTGGTGTTGGTGGCCACGGTGGGAAAGTTGTGCCCACACGTGTCTGGTGTTGGTGGCCATGGTGGGCACCTCGTGGCCACACACGTCTGGTGTTAGTAGCCATGGTGGGCACCTCGTGGCCACATGTCTGGTGTCAGTGGCCATGGTGGGCAACTCGTGGCCACATGTCTGGTGTTGGTGGCCATGGTGGGCAACTCATGGCCACACATGTCTGGTGTTTGTGGCCACGGTGGGCAAGTTGTGCCCACACACGTCTGGTGTTGGTGGCCATGGTGGGCAGCTCATGGCCACGGTTATCTGGTGCTGGTGGCCATGGTGGCAACCTCCAACCACCTGCCATGGTTGTGGCCATGGTGGTAAGCTGCAACCACACGTCTTGTGTTGGTGGCCATGGTGGGCAACTTGTGGCCGCACGTGTTTGGTGGCGGTGGTGGCCATGGTGGCAACTTCCAGCCACCTGCCTGGTGTTGGTGGCCACGGTGGGAAACTCATAGCCATGGGTATGTGGTGCTGGTGGCCATGGTGGCAACCACCAACCACACATCTGGTGTTGACAGGCAACCCGTGCCCAGGTCTGGAAGACACATGTCAAAGTCTGAAGGACACGTGTGTCCAGATGTGGAGAAAACAGCTGGCAATCCATGGCCACACATGTCCAGGTCTGGAGAACACATGTGTCCATGTCTGGAGGACACGTGTCCAGGTCTGGAGGACATGTATGTCCAGGTCTGCAGAACACGTGTGTCCAGGTATGGAGGACATGTGTGTCCAGGTCTGGTGAACACAGTTGGCAATCCATGGCACATGTATCCAGGTCCGGAGGACACGTGTGTCCAGGTGTGGAGAACACACATGTTGAGGTGTGGAGGACACATGTCCAGGTTTGGAGGACACATATGTCCAGGTCTGGTGAACACAGCTGGCAATCCATGGCCAGACATGCTCAGATCTGGAGAACACGTGTGTCCAGGTCTGGAGAACATGTGTCCAGGTGTGGAGAACAGGTGTCCAGATCTGGAGGGTACATGTGTCCAGGTCTGGTGAACACAGCTGGCAATTCATGACCACACGTGCCCAGGTCTGGAGAACACGTGTCCAGGTCTGGAGAACACGTGTGTCCAGGTCTGGAGAACACGTGTGTCCAGGTCTGGAGAACACGTGTCCAGGTGTGGAGGACACGTATGTCCAGGTGTGGAGGACATGTGTCCAGGTCTGGTGAACACGTGTCCAGGTCTGGAGGACATGTATGTCCAGGTCTGGAGAACACGTGTGTCCAGGTCTGGAGAACATGTGTCCAGGTGTGGAGGACACGTATGTCCAGGTGTGCAGGACATGTGTCCAGGTCTGGTGAACACAGCTGGCAATTCATGACCACACATGCCCAGGTCTGGAGGACATGTATGTCCAGCTCTGGAGAACACATGTGTCCAGGTCTGGAGGACACGTATGTCCACAGCAAGAGGACACACACATCCAAGCCCGGAGGACACACGTGTGCAGCTCGGGAAGCCACGGCTGCTGACCCACCACCACGTGTGTCCAGCCTGGTGGCCCCAGCTGACACGTCACCACCACGTGTGTCCGTCCCTGAAGGCCACGCCCAGCGCCGCGTGGGCCCACGTGTGTTCCCCCCCCGCAACCACGGTCCCACCACCACCTGCTGGTGTCACCCCCCCCCCCCTCCCTGCTCCCTGGGGGTTATCGCGGGCTGTGTAAACCAGGAGTAAAGCAGGGAGATGGCTCCTCCTGGGAGTGCGTGGGCGCCCTAATTGGTGCCAATTAAGACTTGGCTAACGAGGAGGCCGCTAACGAGGCCCCCCACCGAGAGAACCAGTTGGGCCAAGCCCGCGAAGCCGCACCGCCCTGTTTACACCACTTACACCCAGCGGGACTGCTTGGGATTTGCACAGAGAGAGGAGGGGGGAAGCCCCGCCCTTCCCACCTCTGGCCACGCCCCCTCACCATGAAGCCCCGCCCTGCTGAGGGTGCAAGCGGCACAGGGTGACGGCACCCTCTAGCGCGAGTGGGCACCCAGGGGAGTGCACAGGGAGATAAGTGCGTGTTGTGGGCGTGCGTCGCGGATGCGTGGTGTGGATGTGTGGGCGTGTGTCATGGATGTGTGGGCGTGTGCCATGGATGTGGAGATGTGTGTCATGGACATGCAGACATGTGTCATGGATGTGTGAACACGTGTCATGGATGTGTAGACATGTCATGGTAGTGTGGACGCGTGTCATGGATGGGTGGGCGTGTGTCACGGATGTGTGGGCGTCACGGATGTGTGGGTGTGTGTCACGGATGTGGAGATGTGTGTCATGGACATGCAGACGTGTCATGGATGTGTGAGCACATGTCATGGATGTGTAGACGTGTCATGGATGTGCTGGACGCGTGTCATGGATGGGTGAGCGTGTGTCACGGATGTGTGGGCACGTGTCGTGGATGTGGGGATGTGTGTCATGGATGTGCAGACATGTGTCATGGATGTGTAGACATGTGTCATGGTAGTGTGGACGTGTGTAATGGATGTGTGGGCATGTGTCACGGATGTGGAGATGTGTGTCATGGACATGCAGACATGTGTCATGGATGTGTGAGCACGTGTCATGGATGTGTAGACATGTGTCATGGTAGTGTGGATGCATGTCATGGATGTGTGTGTGTGTGTCACAGAAGTGTGGGCATGTGTCATGGGTGTGTAGACATATGTCATGGACATGCAGATGTGTGTCATGGACGTGCAGACACGTGTCATGATGTGTGGACGTGTGTCACAAGTGTGGGCATGTGTCATGGCTGTGTGGTTGTGTCATGGATGTGCTGGACACGTGAACATGTGGACACGTGGACACGTGTTGTGGCCATGTGGATGCGTGTTTGTGTTGTGGACATGTCCTGTGGACTTGTTTCATGGATGTGTGGATGCGTAGATATGTTGTGGACATGTGGACATGTGTCGTGGACATGTGGACGTGTTTCATGCATGTGTAGACATGTCGTGGACGTGTGGACCTGTCATGCACATGTGGACGTGTCATGGAGGTGTGTTGTCATGCAGGGGTCTGCGTGCACACGCGTGTGCTGACCACTGTCACATGGACGCGCCATGAAAGCGCCGGAGAACCAGGTGGAACGGCGTCGCTCTTCGCTCCCGCCCTCACAGCCGGCCAGCCAATCACATTGGGCGCCAGAGTGGGCTGGCCAATCGGCTGGTCTCCAGCGCTGAGTGGCCAATTGGCATATGCCGATGGCTTCATTCGGTTGGCCAATCAGCACGTCCAGGTCTCCAAAGCCAATTGGCCAATCAGTACACCCAGATCTCAAAGCTGATTGGCCCATCAGGATGCCCAGATGTCCAAAGCCAGTTGGCCAATCAGCACGCCCGGATCTCCAAAGCCGATTGGCCAATCAGCATGCACAGATCTCAAAGCTGATTGGCCAATCAGCATGCACAGATCTCAAAGCTGATTGGCCAATCAGCACAAGGTGGTCTTGAAAGCTGATTGGCCAATCAGCAAGCCTGGACCTGCAAAACTGATTGGCCAATCAGCACACTCAGATCTCAAAGCCGATTGGCCAATCAGCATGCCCAGATCTCAAAGCCGATTGGCCAATCAGCACAAGGTGGTCTTGAAAGCTGATTGGCCAATCAGCAAGCCTGGACCTGCAAAGCTGATTGGCCAATCAGCACACTCAGATCTCAAAGCTGATTGGCCAATCAGCATGCCCAGATCTCAAAGCTGATTGGCCAATCAGCACAAGGTTCTCTCCAAAGCCGATTGGCCAATCAGGACGTGCCGATCTCCAACACCGGCCCACGGGCCTTGACGGCTCGCCAAGCCTCTTGGCCAATCACACGTGCCGGCCCTCTCCCCCCCCCCAAGCTGTTAGCCAATGAGCGCATCCCTCCTCACCCACGCCCCATCGCCCCGCCCACCCTGCCCCAAGCCCTCAGCCAATCAGATCGCGTCCTCCCTCCACCAATCCCCGGCCTCGCTTGCCCCTTCCCCCTTCCAAGGCCGGTTGACCTCCCCTCTTCCAAGCTCATCGCCAACCGGCCAACCGGCGCCGCTCCCCTCCGCCGGCCGCCGCCCACCCGCCAGCCAACCGACCAATCAGCACGCACTGACGCCCTCCCCAAGGTCAAGGTGGCGCCGGGGGATTAAGGGAAGGTGGCGACGAAGCGTCTTCGCGCCCCGGGGCGGGTCCCGACGCCGTTATAAAAAACCGGCGGCGCTCACGTGGGAGGGTCGGGGCGCGGCGCCGTGGCCACGGACGGGACGCGCCGGGGCCGGTTGGGACGGTTTTTGGGGGGTGGTTTGGGGTTTTGGGGTTTTTTTGGTTTGTTTGGTTGGTTTTTTTTTTTTTTTTTTTTTTTATTTTAGGGAGTTCTTTTTTGTTGTTGTTGGAGGGTGGTTTTTTTGTTGTTGGTTTGATTTGGTTTGGTTTGTTTTTTTTTTTGTTTTGTTTTGGTTTTCTTTTATTATTATTTTGGGGGGGGGCTTAGAATTCCTGACGACGGCGACGACGGAGAAGAGGCGGTGGGATTTCGCCCGGCGGGAAGCGGGAGAGCTCGGCGGGGAAGGAGCGGGGTGGCCCCCCCACCCCCTCCTCCTCCTCCTCCTCTGCCTCCTCTTCCTCCTCTTCCTCCACCCCCCGGCGGGGCGCAGCAGGGACCGGCGGAGAGGTTTGACGGGGCACGGGGAGGGCGGGGGGGGGCCCCTTCGCCAGGGATCATGGGTCACGGTCACCCCTTCTATCCCCCCTCCTCCAGGTTTACTCCATCCCCGGGCTCTATCCAACCCCGTTCCTCCAGTTTTACTCCGTCACTGGGCTCTGTCCATCCCTCCTCCATGTTTACTCCATCCCTGGGTTCCATCCAACCCTCCTTCTCTGATTTTACTCCATCCTTGGACTCCATCCAACCCCGTTCCTCCAGGTTCACTCCATCCCTGGTCTCCATCCATCCCTTCTCCACCTTTACTCTGTCCCTAGGCTCCATTTAACCATCCTTCTCCAGCTTTACTCCATCCCTGGGCTCCATCCACCCCTCCTCCATGTTTACTCCATCCCCATGTTCCATCCAACCCTCCTTCTCCAGCTTTACTCCATCCCTGGGCTCCATCCCACCCTGTTCTTCCAGGTTTACTCCATCCCTGGTCCCCACCTATCCCTCCTTCTCCAGCTTTACTCCATCCCTGGGCTCCATCCATCCCTCCTCCAGCTTTACTCCGTCCCTGTGCCCCACCCAACCCTCTTCCTCCAGATTTACTCCATCCCTGGGCTCCATCCAACCTTCCTTCTCCACGTTTACTCCATCTTTCCCTCCTTCTCTGTGCCAGCCCCATCCCTCCTGCCCCGCATCCATCCCTCCATCCTCAGCTCCCCCAACCTCATCCGGCCTCCCCACAGGGACCCACCACCCGTGTCCGTGGGTCCCACCACCCGTGTCCCTGGGGAACGATGACCCGCGCCCATGGGCCCCATTTCCTTTATCTGTGGGGCCCGTGGCACATGTACACAGGGAGTGGTGACCCACACCCATGGGTGGCTCCAACCCATGGCCATGGGAACCGTGACCCACAGTCACGTGGCGCCTTGACCCACTTCCACGGGGCCCACAAACCTCCTCCGTGGGGAGCAACGACCCACTGCCAGGAGGAACCATTGACCCCCGTCCACGGGGAGCAATGACCCACAGCCGCCTCCAACCCATGGCCATGGGGACCCACGGGGGACCCACAACCCACGAGGAACCCACAACCATGGAAGGAGGGTGCCCCCCCACCCACAACCACCGGGAGCGGTGCCCCATGTCCCCGGGGAGCCGTGACCCACAGCCAAGGGTGTCTCCAACCCAGAGCCTTGAAGAACCGTGGCCCCACGGGCCACGACCCATAACTCCATGGGGACCAGGACCCACAGCTCCAGCCCGAGGGAGGCATCCGAGGGCAGCGTGAGGTGCCGGGAGGTCAATCGCCTCCAGACAAGGAGGGGGGAGGCGGAGGAGTTGGTGGAGCCCGTAATTACGGGCCTCAATTAACGATGACTCCCTTGATTGCCGCCATGGCACCGGGGGCCCCCGATGACGTCACCGTTGCAACAGCGCGATGACGGGGCGAATTGTGCCGCTCCGACCGCGGGGCGGAGGCCCCCCCAGTCCCTTCCCCAACTGGTGTCGACCCCAAAATGGTGTTGACCCCCCCCCCTAAATACAAGGTAGCCCCAAAACACCCCCCCACCCCGCCCCCCGCAAGAAATATCTCACCTTCTTCTGGAGTGGGGTGTGGGGCTGAGGGTCTAGGGGAGGCCACGGAGGGCTTAACACCTCTGCCCCACAGTGGCCACGGCGATGGCGGTGCGAGCCACGGTGGCCCCCCGGCTATGGGGCACTGTGAAGCTACTGGGAGCTCTGGTCTTGGTGGCATCCACGGGTGAGTGCTGGGTGGGTGGGTGTGGTGACACGGCGGGGCGGCCACGCGTGGGCGGCGCTAACCACGCGTGTCCCTCGCAGCGTCCTCGGTGGCGGGGGAGACGCGCGTGGTGGGCGGCATGGACTGCGAGCCCCACTCGCAGCCGTGGCAGGTGGCCATCTTGGACATGTACAAGCTCTACTGCGGCGGCGTCCTGGTGGCCCGGCAGTGGGTGGTGACGGCGGCCCACTGCACCACGCCGGGGTAAGGGCGGCGTCACGCGGGTCCCTCACGTTCACCCCAAGGAGGGGGGGAGGTCAGCCCAGCCGGCCGTGGGTCACACGTGCCCTGCGGTGGGGACCCGTGAAGGTCGTGGCCGTGCTGTGGTCTATGTGGCTATGCCGTGTGTCACGCATGCAGCACGGGGCCCCGGCACATCCCACACGTGTTCTGCCCATGCTGCAGACCCCCCTGTCCCACACATGTCCTGGTAACGTTGCAGACCCCGTGTCCCACACGTGGACCATTCCGTGTCCCACGTGTGTTTTACCCATGCTGCAGACCCCGTATCCCACACATGGACCATTCCATGTCCCACGTGTGTTTTACCCATGCTGCAGACCCCGTGTCCCACACGTGGACCATTCCGTGTCCCACGTGTGTTTTACCCATGCTGCAGACCCTGTGTCCCACACATGGACCATTCCATGTCCCACAGCATGTTGCAGAACCCATGTCCCACACGTGGGTCATGCCGTGTCCCACACATGTCCTGGATATGCTGTAGACCTCATGTCCCACACATGGGCCATGCCATGTCCCACATGTGGACCATTCCATGTCCCACGTGTGTTTTACCCATGCTGCAGATCCCGTGTCCCACACGTGGACCATTCCATGTCCCATGACCTGTTACAGAACCCATGTCCCACACGTGGGTCATGCCATGTCCCACACATGTCCTGGACATGCTGTAGATTTCATGTCCCACACATGGGCCATGTCATGTCTCACACGTGGACCATTCTATGTCCTACACATGTCTTGGACATGTTGCAGACCCCATGTCCCACGCGTGAGCCATGCTGTGTCCCACACATGTCCTGCCCATGCTGCAGACCCCGTGTCCCCCCATGTGTCCTACACATGTTGTGGCCACACCACAGCCTCCGTATCCTACACCTGGACCATGCTCTCCATGGTCCCCATGTGTCCTGGACATGGTGTCCCACCACATGCCGTGGCTGCGCCACGGTCTCCATGTCCTGTTCACGGACCACACATGTCCTGGCCACATCCCATGCTTCCATCCCCATGCTTCCACCCACACACGTCCCACAGGACCCACGGCCACATCACGATCTCTCTGTCCCATCCACGGCCCGGCCTGTCCGTGTCCCACATGTCCCAGCCACGTCCTCCCCCACAAACACCACGGCCACACCACAGCCATCAAACCCCACGCGTGGGCCATGGTCCCACGCGTGTGTCCCCCACACACACACTACCCTGCCTGCCATAGGATCACCACCACCCACCTGGGCAAGCACAGCCTCTACACGCGCGAGTGGGGTGAGATGCAGAAGATGGTGCAGAAGTTCGTGCCGCACCCCGACTACAACCCCACCACCAAGGACAACGACATCATGATGATGAAGCTCCTGACGCCCGTCACCCTCAGCAACAGGATCCAGCCCGTCCCCGTGGCCTCCTGCCTCCCAGAGCCCGGCACCACCTGCGTCACCTCGGGATGGGGAGCCACCACCTCCCCAGAAGGTACCCAGTACCCGTGGCCTCTTCTGGAGGTCTGGGACCTCTCCTGGAGGTCTGGGTCCTCTTCTGGAGGCCTGGGACCTCTCCTGGAGGTCTGGGTCACCCCCCCTGGAGATCTGAGGCCTCTCCTGGAGGCCTGGGTCATCTCCTGGAGGTCTGGGTCACCTCCTGGAGATCTGGAACTTCTCCTGGAGGACTGAGTCCTCTTCTGGAGGCCTGGGTCACCTCCTGGAGGTCTGTGTCTTCTTCTGGAGGCCTGGGACCTCTTCTGGAGGTCTGGATCACCCCCCTGGAGGTCTGAGGCCTCTTATAGAAGTCTGGGTCTTCTCCTGGAGGCCTGGGTCACCTCCTGGAGATCTGGATCTTCTCCTGGAGGTCTGGGTCTTCTTCTGGAGGTCTGGTTCTTCTTCTGGAGGCCTGGGTCCTCTTCTGGAGGTCTGGGTCTTCTTCTGGAGGTCTGGTACTACTCCTGGAGGCCTGGGTCCTCTTCTGGAGGTCTGGGTTACCCCCTCGAGGTCTGGGTCTTCTCCTGGAGGTCTGGATCTTCTCCTAGAGGCCTACATACTCTTCTGGAGGTATGGGTCTTCTCCTGGAGGCCTCAGTCACCTCCTGGAGATTTGGATCTTCTCCTGGAGGACTGGCTCCTCTTCTGGAGGCCTGGGTCACCTCCTGGAGGTCCGAGTCCTCTTCTGGAGATCTGGATCTTCTTCTGGAGGTGTGGGTCCCTTCCTGGAGATCTGGGTCACCCCCTGGAGGTCTGGGTCAAATCCTGGAGGTCTGGGTCTTCTTCTGGCGGGTCAAGTCCCATTCTGGAGGCCTGAGTCTTCTCCTCGAGGTCTAGGTCTTCTTATGGAGGTCTGAAAACTCTCCTGGAGGTCTGGGAACTCTCCTGGAGGTCTAGGTCACCTCCTGGAGGTCTGGGTTTCTCCCCTGGACATCTGGGTCATCTCCTTGGTACCTTGGTTCTCTCATGAGCGCCTGGGTCTTATTCTGGACAGCCAGGTCCCCTCTTGGGCACCTACGACCTCTCCTGAACATCCAGGTCTTCTCCTGGATATCTGGGTCCTCCCCTAAGAAATGGGAACAAAAAGGGGCAGCAGAGGAGGAAAGGGAAGGAAATAACATGAAATTACATGAATTTATACCAAAAAAGATGAAAGGACAGAAGCAGGAAGACCCTAAAATCACATAAAGCCCTAGAACTCGAGTAACAGATTAAATAAGAAATAAAGCGTATGGATTTTAATCAAAATAAAAGGAAATAAGAGAAAGGAAGGGGGTAAGGAATAAAGTAAAATGAATGAAAATGAAAGATAAATTAAAAGAAAGAAAATTGGTTAAGCAGAACAGAATGGGTAAAAAAAAAAAAAAAAAGAAGAAATTAAGTTAAATAGCACAGAGAATAAAATTAAAATTTAAAATTTAAGTTAAATACACAGAGAATAAAATTAAAACTTAAAATGACTGAAATGGGATAAACCACTAAGATCCTAAAATTAAATTCAAGGAAACAAAAAGAAAATGTAACAAAGCAAAATAAGACAGAATTTAGGAGAAGGCACACCAAAATAGACCCTATTTCTGGAGTTTCCCACTTCCAGTCCCGAAATCCCTCGGGTGCTGGTGGGGGGAGGAGGTTTCACCCACTGTGGGCTTTGCCTCCACGGGTGTTTTCCCACCTAAACCTTCAAAAAACGTCCCCGAAGAGCTCATTTCTCACCCCAAAACCAAACTGGAGAAACTTCTCCAGGACGAGGTGGGGTGGTGGGGGGGTGGGGGGCGTGTCGGTGTTGGGAGTTTTTTTGGGGGGGGTGGGGGGTGAATTTCTGCCGGTTCGTGGGTCGATCGCTCTGGTTTCTTTTTTCCCCCCCACCCCCCTCCGTTCCCTGGCTCAGTCACTTACCCGGACGTCTTGCAGTGCGTCAACGTCACCATCTTCTCGACGGCCGAGTGTCAACAGTTGTACCCCGGTTCCATCACCGACAACATGTTGTGCGCCGGGAGCCTCCAAGGCGGTAGGGACTCCTGCCAGGTACGGCCAACATATTCCCCCCCACCCCCCACCCCCCAGCCAGGGCCGCGGCGTCTTCCTCTGTTGGCCAACCCAACGGAGGCTCATGAACCCAATGAGAGTTGGCCAAGCCAGGGATGTTCTTCAGCCAATGGTTGGTCAAAACATCCATCGCTGGCCAACTCAAGAGGAGTTGGGTAACCTGGTGTTGGTTCTTCAACCCAACAAGGGTTGGCCAACACAAGTAGAATTGGCCAACTCATCAGTGGCTGGACAACCCAGAGAGATTTGGACAATCTTCAGGGGGGGTTGGACAACCCAGGGATGTTCTTCAACCAAGGGTTGGTCAGAATATTCATCGTTGGCCAACTCGAGAGGAGTTGGGTAACCTGGTGTTGGTTCTTCAACCCAGTAAGGGTTGGCCAACGCAAGTAGAATCGGCCAACTCGGCAATGGCTGGAGATCCCAAAGAGATTTGGACAATCTACTGGGGGGGTTGGACAACCCAGGGATGTTCTTCAACCCAGACAAGGGTTGGCCAAAAGACTCATGGTTGTTCAAAACATTCATTGTTGGCCAACTCAAGAGGAGTTGGGTAATCCAATGTAGGTTCTTCAACCCAACAAGGGTTGACCAACTCAAATAAAGTTGGCCAACTCATCCATAGCTGGAGAACCCAAAGAGATTTGGTCAACCCAGTGATGTTCTTCAACCAAGGGTTGGCCGATTCATTCATCGTTGACCAACTCAACAACAGCTGGCAAATCCAAGGGGACTTGAGCAACCTGGTGTTGGTTCTTCAACCCAACAAGGGTTGGCCAACGCAAGTAGAATTGGCCAACTCATCAGTGGCTGGACAACCCAGAGAGATTTGGACAATCTTCGGGGGGGGTTGGACAACCCAGGGATGTTCTTCAACCAAGGGTTGGTCAGAATATTCATCGTTGGCCAACTCGAGAGGAGTTGGGTAACCCGGTGTTAGTTCTTCAACCCAATAAGGGTTGGCCAACGCAAGTAGAATCGGCCAACTCGGCAATGGCTGGAGATCCCAAAGAGATTTGGACAATCTACTGAGGGGGTTGAACAACCCAGGGATGTTCTTCAGCCCAGACAAGGTTTGGCCAAATGATTAATTAATTGTTGGCCAACCCGATGTCGGTTGGCCAGCGCAAGGCTGGCTGGACAACTCAACCACAGTTGGGTGGCCCGGTGGAGCCCGGCAGGTTCACACCACGTCTTTCCGCAGGGTGACTCTGGAGGACCTTTGATTTGCAACAGGACCCTCCAAGGCATCGTGTCGTGGGGCATGGAGAAGTGTGGGCAACCCAAGAGACCTGGTGTCTACACCAAGGTCTGTAGATACGCCCAGTGGATCCAGAAGACCATGAATGACAACCAGTGACACACCAGTGACACACCAGCAACCTCCAAGTGTCTGGGGGGGGGGGGGGGGGGGAGCTGGGGGGGGGGCAGGGGGGAGGTCGGAGGCTCACGGCCACGTTGCCGCCGCTCGCCGGGGCAAAGCCGGTGGGACAACGGAGGTTGTGGCGAGGTGGTGGCCCCAGGTCACCTGGTGAAGCTGGTGAGAGGGCGGGTGGGAACAACACGAGCAATTAAAGCGTTGTCATGTTTGGTGGGAAATTTGGTCCTTTTCAACCCATTCCTCACCCCACCACACCAAAAAAAAAAAAAAAAATAGATTTCAAGGTCAATTCCAGAAGTCTCCTCTCCTTCAAGGTCATCCACAGGCCCAGTGGCCATGAGTGGCCACGGGGCTTTATTTTGAGGGTGCATCCCTCCCACTGTCATGCCAATTTGTCAATTTCCAGGATTTTTTCAGAAAACCTTCGGTTCTTCCGCCCAGCGTCTCCCATGGAACACGACATGTGGCTGTGGTGGCCCTGGGCACATGGGACACCGGTGGCCAAGTCCTCCAACCCCAATGGGGTTGGTCAACTCAACCAAAGCTGGTTGCCCAACTCAATCACTGCTGGCCAGCCAGGAATGACCTAGCCAACGGGAGACGCCCAATAGGAATGAAGAACCCAGTGAGCTTCAGGCAATGCAACAAGGGTCACCCAATCGATGAGGGTCACCCACCCAATGATGGTTGGTCAACCCAAGGGAGTTGGCCAACCCAGTGAGGGTCACCACCCAGTGATGGTTGGCCAACCCAACGAGTCATCCACCCAATGACAGTTGGCCAACCCAAGGGAGTTGGCCAACCCAACCAGAGCCATCCACCCAAGGACGGTTGCCCAACCCAAGGGAGTTGGCCAACCCAGTGAAGGTCACCCACCCAACGATGGTTGACTAACCCAACCAGAGTCATCCACCCAATGACAGTTGGCCAACCCAAGGGAGTTGGCCAACCCAGTGAGGGTCACCCACCTAACGATGGATGGCCAACCCAATATCTACTGGCCTCTCCTTCCGCTGGTGGCCATGGTTTGACATCATTGTGCCGTTTTGTCCCCCGCAGGCGGTGCCGGCAGCCATTTTGTCCCCCTTCCCCCCTACCTCAGGCTCTCCTCAGGATTTACTCGCTCTCTGTTGTCCCCACACCAGGGTCTCCTGAGTTGGTGGCCACAAAAGCCCCGGGGGCCATCTTGGCCACCAGGAGGAGGAGTTGGCAAGGCCAAAAGTCGCCTTCCTTGACTCTGGAGGCCTCTGGAGATGCTTTGGCTTGCTGTGGAGGACTCGGGGCTCGTGACGGCACTGCCCTCGGGGGCGTGGCCACCGCAGGGACGTCCCTCCAGAGGGTTGGTAAGGGACGACCCAGCATTCCCTGGGGGCAGGGGAGGGGCAGGGGCAGTGGCCAGCAACCAACTTGAGCTTCTAAGAGAAGAGGAGGCCACTGTCAGTCAGGTGGTCTGGCCTGCCCGGCCCTGAGGTGGGGAAACGCCATTGGCTGGGCTCTTCCCAAGACCCACCCCTCCCTGACCTGAAGAGGTGCCATTGGTTGAGCTTTTCCCAAGACCCGCCTACCACAGACTGAGGAAATGCCATTGGTTGGGCTCAATCCAAGACCCTCCCACCCCACACTGGGGCCTCCCCATTGGCTGAGAAATTCCTAAGACCCTCCCACCCCACACTGGGGCCTCCCCATTGGCTGAGAAATTCCCAAGACCCACCCACCCCACACTGGGGCCTTCCCATTGGCTGAGCTCTTCCCTAGACACACCCCTCAAACTGGAGCCACCCCATTGGTTGGGCATCCTGCCTGAAGGGAGGTGTCACCTCCCGTCCCCCTTGGGGCGTGGCCTCCACGAGTGCCAGCCAATCGCCTGGGGCGGGCCCGATCTGGGCAACGAGGCTGTTTGTGTTCCTTTGATTAGGGCCCTAAAATCGTTACGGCTGTAATTAGCGCTAACGACCTAATGACAAGGCCGCACGATGACCTCAGCACCCGCGCCACGCCCCGGGCGCGGTTGGCGTCAGGGGGGCGGGGTTTGCTTAATCCCGCACTAATCCGGCGGCGGGTGGGGTGGGAATGGGGGGCAGAAGGGGACCCCGCCCCACGGCACCCTATAGGTACCGTACAGGACCCACTTCACCTTATAGATATGCTGTAGGGGACCCATTTTACCCCATAGATCCCATAGGGGCCCCCATCACCCTATAGATACCATAGGGGGTTCAGGTGTCCAGGCGGCCCCACTTCACTCCATAAACCCCATAGGGGACCCTCTTCACCCCATAGATACTGGAGGGGACCCACTCCACCCCATAGATCCCATAGGAGCTCCCATCACCCCATAGACACCGTAGGGTCCCACTTCACCCCATAGATACCATAGGGGATTCAGGTATCTGGGCCGCCCCACTTCACCCCATAGATATCGTAGGGCCCCCCATCACGCCATAGATCCCATAGGTGACCCACTTCACCCCATAGATCCTGTAGGTGGCCCACCTCACCTCATAGATAGTGTAGGGACCCACTTCACCCTATAGATGTAGCATAGGGGGCCCTCTTCATCCCATAGGTCCCATAGGGGACCCAGGTGTCCAGGCTGCCCCACTTCACCCTATAGATCCCATAGGGACCCACATCACCCCGTAGATAGCATATGGACACGCTTCACCCCATAGATCCCATAGGGGCCCCAGTCACCCCATAGATCCCATAGGAGCCCCAGGCACCCCATAGATCCCATAGGGGCCCCAGGCACCCCACAGATCCCATAGGGGCCCCAGGCACCCCATAGATCCCATAGGGGCCCCTCTTCACCCCACAGATCCCGTCAGGACCCACTTCACCCTATAGACCCCATAGGGGCCCCCTGTCCCCCCCTATAGATCCCGTGGGACACCTGGGCATGGGGCGGGGGGGTGGGGTGTGAACGTGACACCTGCAAACCTGAGGGGGGGGGGCCGCTAATGAGCCCCTGTTAATAATTAACGCAGAGCCTTGATAAGGGGGGGCCCCCATCCCCCCCCCCCAAAAAAAAAACATCATGGCCCCTGGCAGCTTCATCATCCTGCTCCTCCTCCTCCTCGTGGAGCTGGTGACCCCCGGTGAGGGGGGGGAGACCCCAAATTTTTGCGGGGGGGGGAAAGGGGGGGATAAGGGGATCTGGGGGGGTCCCCAACATGATGAATGGGGAGCTGGGGGGGTCCTGGGGGGATTAAGAGGGGGTAAGGGGGTCTGGGGTGTCCCCAACATGATGAATGGGGAGCTGGGGGGGTTAAGGGGGGGCCAAAGGTGGGGGGAGGTTGGGGGGAGTAAAGGGGGGGGATAAGGGAGGGGTCTGGGGGGTCCCCAAGATGGTGGATGGGGTGCGGGGGGGATCTTGAGGGGGTTAAGGGGGGGCCAAGGGGGTCTGGGGGGTCCCCAAGGTGCGGGGGGGGGGGGAATGGGGGGAATAAAGGGGGGGATAAGGGGTTCTGGGGGGTCCCCAAGGTGGGGGGGGGATTTGGGGGTGTCCGCAAAGTGTGGAGGGGTCCTGGCAGGGGAAAAGGGGGGGAAAGGGGGGTCCCCAAAGTCCCGGGGGGGTGGTCAGGGTGGGAAAAAGGGAGTCTGGGGGGGTCGCCAAGAGGGTGGATGGGGGTTCTGGGGGCGGGGGGGAGGGTTGTGCCGGGGGTGGGGGGAGGGGAAAGGGTCTGGGGGGGTCCCCAAGGGGTCCCAGTAGCCCCCCCAACAGCCCCCTCTGACATAACCCACCCCTGCTCCCAGGGTGGCCGTGGGGCGAGCGGATCGTGGGGGGCAGCGAGTGTCCCCGGGGGGGGCACCCTGGCCTCGTCCTGCTCTTCCACTTCGACCAGCACCAGTGCGGGGGGGCCCTGCTCAGCACCCAGTGGGTGCTCACGGCTGCCCACTGCCAGACCAGGTGTGGGGAGGGGGGGGGGGGGGGGGCAGAACTGGGAGGCACTGGGAGGGGAGGTGGAAGCACTGGGTGTGGGGCTGGAATCAATGGGAGGGAAATGGGGGGGGGGGGGGCTGAGAATGGGACTGGGACCACTGGGGGGGGCACTGGGAGGCACTGGGGGGGGGACTAGGGCTACTGGAGGGGAGCTGGGCGCACTCGGAGGCACTGGGAATGGGACTGGGAGCACTGGGAGGGGAGATGGGGGCATGGGAGGGGAGGTGGGGGCACTGGGAGGGGAGGTGGGGGCATGGGAGGGGAGGTGGGGGCACTGGGAGTGGGGCTGGAAGCAATGGGAGGGAAATGGGGGGGCGCTGAGAATGGGACTGGGAGGCACTGGGGGGGGGCACTGGGAGGCACTGGGCGGGGGGCACTGGGAGGCACTGGGGGGGGGGCACTGGGAGGCACTGGGGGGGGGCACTGGGAGGCACTGGCGGGGGGGCACTGGGAGGCACTGGGGGGGGGCACTGGGAGGCACTGGGCGGGGGGCACTGGGAGCGGAACGAGGGCTGTTGGAGGGGAGCTGTGTGCACTGGGAGGCACTGGGAATGGGACTGGGAGCGCTGGGGGGGGGGGGCACTGGGAGGCACTGGGGGGGCACTGGGAGGCACTGGGCGGGGGGCACTGGGGGCACTGGGGGGGGGACTAGGGCTATTGGAGGGGAGGTGGGCGCACAGAGAGGCACTGGGAATGGGACTGGGGGCGCTGGGAGCCCAGCTCAGCCCCCAGTGGGTGCTCAGGGTCACCCAGGGCCACGTGTGGCTGGGAGGCACTGGGAGCGCTGGGAAAGGTTCCAGGAAGCACCGGGAGGAACTGGGAGGAACTGGGTCATTGTGACCCATGTCCCATCCCCCCCCACGGTCATGTCCCTCACGTCCCCGTGACCGTGACCTCTCCCCCCGTCACGTGTCCCCCCCCATCAAGTGTCCCCCCCTGTCATGTGCCCCCCCATAATTGTGCCCCGGCCATCACGTGTCCCCCCGTGACGCCTCATCATGTGTCCCCCACAACTGTGTCCCCTGTCACGTGTCCCCCTTCAGCTGTGTCCCCCTGT